AAATAACCAGAAGCAAAATGTTTCTACATTTTACAAATTATTTTTTTTAAGATTGCTTTTTATCAAGGTTTTTAAAAGTATGACTTAAAAAGAAAAATTGTATAATCTGACATGCGTGAATTTTTCCAAAGCCTATTTTTGAAATATATTTTGTGGATCACTCCGTATAAAAAGTTAAAATAAGATGTAGACACTATAATCTGTAGAAAACCCATTCTCTGGCTTTTTCAAAACATCTATATAATATTTTTCTTATTCTATGTACGATATATTTTGTTCACTTTGTTTATTTGATTCATTTTTATGATAAACTCTGATAAAACTAAACCACTTTTAATATATCTATTATCAAAAATCTACTAATGTACCTATATCTTAAATTATGAAGTATTTAATGCATAATACATACTTGTAGTTTGATCTGGTATAACCTTTATAAAACTGTTATGTTCTAGATATATAGTTCATACAATTTTTTTTTATTTATACAATTATCGATAATAGTAACTATTGTGCAATAATAGATTTGAAAAATACGTTTGTAGGAAATAAAATGGCTTACCAGTACTAGTGGCTCACCTCGTGGCTCACGCTTTGTAAATTAATCATCAATTCCTGCAAACTGCCGCTACCAACCAATAAAGCTATTAAGAACATCTTATCTTGTTTATAGTCAAACGATATTACCCAAATCGACAGATGTTCAAAACGGCCCGTTTGTATAGAATTTATATGTATAATTACGGACCTGATATGGTCTGATCTAACCGTACAGCCATTAAACTCTAATGTGTTATGTAAATGGCTTTTAGTTGACTTGAATGGTCGATTTCCTGGTTCAAGGGCTTTTCAAATTTAGTCATATTTTTATCGGGAATTGGTAGCAACACGTGTTCCGTCATATGCTATTTTGCATTTGTTGTTTAAGGCCCATTTGTGATTTAATTGGTTAATATCTATTTTGACTTGATTCGTAATATAAAACACATATTCACCTTTTTGATTTATCTCGCTGCGTATTTTCAGAAAATTTGGTCCGATACATTTATGAAATATGAATAATCTACTTGAGGGGTATAGTTTCAAAGTGTACAATCTCCGTGTTTCCAAAATTCTCAGTAGAAGAAAAAACTAATAATTTCTTAAATACAAACAATTAAGGTACCATTTCGGTAGGCGCGACAGACGACCACCGACGCGACATACGACCGCCGACGCGCTTCACATCTAAAATACATACAATTATATGAAACACATTTCGCACGGCGCGACACGAGAAGTGTCGTCAAGACGACACTTCCTGACGACACTTCTGAATCTGTCCCGGGGCAAAGGTTTGCTGTGTGTCGCACTCGAGGTCACTGTCCTCGAGCATCGCTTCATTTTGGAGGTGATTGGGTTGAAAATTTCTTTCGATCTAGGCAGTGTTGCCAGATTTTGGAACAGTATGGGTGAAAATAAAAACGTAGATCTGAACAGTAGATTTTAATACAGGGGGAAATAATTAAAATTTGCAGTGTAGTAAATAAAAAAACAAGTATATAAGAAACGAAAAATACACTTTTTTTTCGACCCAAATTAGAAGGTAAACAAAGAATAAAAATAAATAATAACATTTTAAATATATACTTAACGTACGGAAACAAAAAAAAAACAATGAAAAATAATAGGTACCTACTTTTTTAGATCAGTCTAAATCAGGTAATTCAAAATCGTAGTGTTTGGCATATGCATGTTCTTTTTATGATGCCCTATTAATTCTTTGTTTCATTTTAAATAAAAACAATGATTATCTTGATGTTTTTTTTTTATGGAGCCAACCTACAGTAGTGGATGCTTATTACGCTGCTTTTACTGCAGAAAATTTACTAGAGAAAATATTCTTTAACCATTTGCTGAAGAATGGGGCAAACTTAATAAATTAAGAACACAATTTACTAGAGACAAAAACACTGGATCTACGTAAAAACAGTAGGTCTGGCAACGCTGATCGTTCCCTCGAATGGTTATTTGTAAGTGTCGCGCGACACTTCTTCAAGCTTGCGAAATGTACGAAGCGTAACATTTATGCATCTATCGTCCTACTCGACCTTGGGGTCGCCTCCGTGGTCGCTTGTCTCCTGACGCGCCTACCCAAATGGTACCTTTAAGGTACTTTTTATTTTTAATTGTATTTGTATCACATCAAAGTTATTTTGAAAAAAATATTTGGAGATTGTACGTTATGGAAATAACAATTGAACTTTGTTCATTTTGAAAATAACTAATATGGAGTTTGTCCACTTTGAAAATAACATCATTTTTCATTAATTTTTGAATTTTTATTCATTATAAAAAAATGAAAAAAAAAACAAATTTATATTCTTTTTCTAAAATTAAAAATAATAAATAATAAAACAACTTTGGTTAAAAATGAATACTTTTTTGATTTCATAAGAGTGAAAAAATTGTTTTAAAAACTGATTTTAAATGAATTTTAAAAACCATTAATTATGGTACTAGTAAGTAGAATTTATGTACTTTTTTTTCAAACGTCACAAAACTGACAACTTATATGACTTGACAAATAATGTAAACATTCAATTGTTTGCTTAGATACAAAAAGTTTTATATAAAATAAAAATTTCCATGGAAACAATATTTCTTATACCGATACTTCAAAATACCTGAAAGGTGTTTTCGATTTATGGTTGGTTCTGGTTGACAAATAAATGCCACATTTATGTGCAAATAAATCCAAAAATCTGTACCACTGTGAGTCTGGAATATACCGTTTGAAAAAAAAAAAAAAATCGTATATACTATTTTTTGACAAAACAATCTTTTCTGCTTCACCTTTTTTTATTACTTTCCTATCTGTATACAGATAAGGAAAATATAAGAATGATTTTTCGACCTCGAGTTTTCGACGGATTTTTACATTTTGAGGTCCCCTGAATCTGTTTCGACTATTTTTGCGATGATGTCTGAGTGTATGCCTGTTTGTGTGACTGTATCCTCGATAACTCATGAGCAGATACAAAGAAAAACACCAAATTTTAAACTTAACCTTTATTCTGGCCTGCGGTGAACAGATTTTTGGCAAAGTCGGAACATCTGGGGAGGTGGAGCTTTATATAGGGGTCGTTTTTATATTTTATGGAATATATCTGTTATTTACGTTTGGAGAAGAAAATTCTTCAAATAAAAGTTACTTCCAATGTTATTCTCTATAATTTTTGCGCTATACAAAATTTTCCTAAAATGGTCCGATTCGAGAAATTTGACAAAATGTGCAAAATTCTGATTTTTTAAGAAAATTGTTAAACTAAAAGTTGTTTGCGATATCGATCTCTATAATTTTTGTTTTATACATGATTTCTCTAAAATGGACCGTAATGGAAAAATTGGAGAAGGAAATTTTGTAGTATTTTCGTTTTCAATGAATATCTATAGAAAAATGTTTCGAGTTAGAAGTATGTGGAAAATTTATATATTTAGTTTATCCTCTAAACATTTAGATGCTACAATAGGTTGTACAAAATAACCGGAAAAAAACCTGTAAAAACTAGATAGGAAAGTCATGTATTGACACATCAGATTTTTTTTTCCTAATATAATTTAGTATTATAGAATTACCTTTTAAGTAAACCTAATGTGTTCCTTAAAGTAACTCATAGTAAGCTTCTGTTTGCCCATTATATTTCGGAACCACTTTCTTATAGACCACCACATTGACAAACGAATACAGCATCAGAAAATTGGCTAAAATTTGACTGTATGTACAATTATACTGCAGTCATAAAATTAATGTAATCTAGTATGTGCAATTATATCGCACGATCATAAAATGTATTCAGTCTTTTATATGCAATTATACCGCATAGACAACCAAAAAAAGCATCAGAATAGTGGATAAAATTTTACTGTATGTGAAGTTATACCGCACAAAGTCATCAAATGAACAAATGAACCTTATCTATTAGAAGGAAATATACCTACCACTCTTGTTTGTCCAATATTCTTTTTATCATGATCTGTACAACTGAATTCATATATATTCGGCCTTTTTCCAACATATTCCTATTGTCTTTTGGTTTAATTAATATATTTCAAAGTATTAAACTTTACTTTGATAGATCTTTCCCGTTTCGTCGTAAACTTGTCTAATTTTAGTGCAGTGGTGTTACTGTTTTTAGACTCCCAGAATGTACTATTGATATTGTTTAATTATATAAAACATTTAAATTTAATTTATTAAAACTATCAGCTATTCTACCTCGTAAATAATAGAATGACTAATCAAAATAACCGATTTACAAGAATGTTTATTTCATTTTACAGAATTGTACCTAAGCAACTGAATAATTTTATAGGGTCAATATAAGTAGCTCTCTCGACCCTTTCACGAGCAAGACCCTGGGGGCTTTTTAATTATCATTTTTTAAATTGCTATTGATCGTTATAGGCTTAATATTTGAAAATCATACGTATTTTTTGAAAATTGGTGGTACATATAATGGTTTAGATTTGTACCGTTCAGGGAAAGGACTAAAATATTCAAATATTATTATAATTATTTATTACAGAAACTTTATTAATTACAGAAACTTTATTAATAAAGTACAAAATAAATAAAATGTAGCACAAAATAAACGAACATTTTTAGCTAATTTTCCAGTTTGTTTACAGTTCAGTTTTTGTTAATAATACGGTACTTTTTGTCTAAATAACCGCATTTCTCTAAAAATCAAAAGCTTTAGACTCGTGTGTGGTACAAATACGTAAGTACCACATTTTGAACTATTGATTATCAGATGGCAGTTAGTAAAGTAATGGTAGATAATTGTTTAAATCAAATAGAACGGACATATGGTCATTATAACATATGGTACATACATGTACCAGCATCTGTTAAAGGTTTAAAAAGAAAAACCCAACTTAGAAACCACCCTGAATATGTCTATCAAAATTTTATTGTTATTGTACAATTTTCTTTACAAATTCCTTATTTGTTACAGGTCCACCGAAGATCACGGTACCTCCGCCTTTCCGGACCGTTGTTTTTACGAAAGATCCACGTCGTCTTCGCGACTAGCCGGCAACAGCGTCGGCGTCGGCAGCGTCGCTGTCGCCGGCGTAGTCGGTACCACCGAACCGGCGGAATTTGTCGGGGGCGGTCGGGGAGGAAACAGCCGAGGAAGTTCCGCTGCCACCACGGCCACTGCTTCAACCACGTACCACGGCGACGCCGTCTCCACCGGGGGCGGTCGATCAACAACTTCGTCGTCGTCCTCGGCCGCCCCGCCAGTTAGTGCCACCCCCGGTGGACGAAGCAGGGAGCGAACGGGGAACTACAGGAACGGACCGTACGGTGCCGCTACATCGGCTCCTTCGACGAATGCCGTCGCCGCCGCATCGGTGGACGGTCGACATTCGTCGAGGACCGCCACTAATAACTGGGGGTACGATTCGACGAGGTATAATAGCACGGGTAACAACCAGACGGATACAGGGTATTGCACTACACCATCTGAAAACAATGAAAGGCGAAACTCAGACCAAAGTTCAAATAAAAAGAAGACGAAATCTAGGTCAGGCTCTAGGTCCCCGTCGCCTTCGGGAAGTACGAGCAGTAGGTCACCTTCAAGGTAAGTTTAAACTCTAATTAGTTTTGGTTTCATATCAATTCACAATCTCCAGTAGTAGTCGTAGAAGAATGGAGAAGAGGCTGTAGATAGATAGATAGCATTTTACAACCTCAATCCTCACCATGGTGTAGTCCAAATTGGATCACACCAAAACCAGACGCATTAATTTACAAAAATGGTGAATATTAATAGGTAGATTATAAATTTGTAGATTACATTGTAGATTAAAGACTACTACTATTTGCCCAATGAATTCAGAGGTGTAAAATGCCTAATTTCTCTGCCATTTCCCTCATCTTGACTGGGCAATCATTCACCACGATCTCATGGACTATTTCAATTGTTTCTTCATCGGTAGCTGTTTTTGCTCTGCCAAAACGTGGTGCAGCCTCTATGGTTATTCTACCACGTTTAAATTCAGCAACCCAGTTGGCATCTGTTGCATATGAAAGAGACGACTCTTCATGAACTCCGTTTTTATTTGTTTAGCACTTAAGTCTTTCAAAGAAATGTTTTATCACCGCACGAAAGTCTTGTTTATTCATGATTAAGAACGACGTATGTTTATGCACAAACTGTATAAAAATTTGATATTTGTACGAGCAGTGGCGCATTCTAGAAAATTCCCATCTATCCTTACAAAGTTTTTCATCGATACTTGAGCTTAAGATCAATTTTTATACACAGTTTTTGAATGTTAACTCGTTAAAAGAAATAACCACGTTTTACAGCCTATTTCACAATCTTAAGTTACCTAGTTATTTAGAGGATAACCATGGGTTTTTCGAAAATAAATGTATTACAATATTAGATTAAGGTTCCATGAAAATATTTAACACCTAGAATAAGTGACGGTTACAAAGAATCTGTTTCAATATACGCGAAAACCAGAATCTGAACAATGTTACTTTTTTACTGGATTCTTAGGCGGCAATGTCCAGTAAGAAGACCTACTACTGCAATCCTAACGATTTGTCGTTCCTTAATATACTCTTTGTCCTATCTCAATCCTGAATAATTGTTCCACCATTCCCGAGACTCTTTTTACATCCATTGATTGATGGATGCCTTGCACAAAGTTTCGGGGTCTGTCACGGCCTTATCTGAGCCTTCTTGGAATAGTTCGTCGGCCTTCTCATTGCTCTAATATCCTTTTGTGGCCTGGTACCCAAGTTAAGGTCACTTTGTTTTGACTATTTAACTCTGGTTAGGTCTTCTAGGCAGTCTGGTGAGAGAATCACCTTCTGAGCTGCTTAGCTATCAATGTAGATGGCAATAGTTTTTCCTGATACTTATTATTTCTCTTGTATGGTTATTAGTTCGGTCTGGAACACTGTTGCGTATTCTTCTAGACTCAGCGAAATCTTTGTTTTCAACTTGGGTCCAAAGATTCCAGTACCAGCTCCTTCCTTGGATTTGCTCCTTTCGAATGTAGCCTGTATGGGAGGTCCCTATTTCCAGGATTCTCGGGCTGGTATTTAGCTATATCAGTAAGCATTCCTAGACTCTTATCTTTTTCTTGGTGGTATACCCTTGTATGGTCAACGCTATGTAGTTGACTTATTGGATTCTGTCCCTGCATTAACCTGATGATAATGACGTACCTAGTTTCTTCTTTTACCACCGATTATGAAACTGGTTGTTGAATGTAATTTGCGTAACTTCAAAGGTATTTTTCTGTTGCAGGTCGAGATCGAGAAGTAGCAGTAGTTCCTCGAGTTCTTCGATGTCGCGCGACACCAGTTCAACGGGTTCGCCAAAATCGAAGAGGTTAACATCAAGCAGTACGTCGAATTCCAACCATCAGCCGGTGGTGCACAGCGACGATCGAAGGCCGCTCGCGATCTGCGTGAAAAACCTCCCGGTGAGGTCTTCGGATACCTCGTTGAAAGACGGGCTCTTCCACGAGTACAAAAAGCACGGGAAAGTGACGTGGGTCAAAGTGGTGGGCAAGGATGCGGAGCGGCACGCTATAGTTTGCTTCAAGAAACCGGAAGACGTGGAAAAGGCGCTGGAAGTGAGTTACGACAAGTTGTTTTTCGGGTGTAAGATCGAAGTGGCGCCTTACCAAGGCTACGACGTGGAGGATAACGATTTGCGACCGTACGAGGCGGAAATCGATGAGTACCATCCGAAGGCTACGAGGACCTTGTTTATCGGTAACTTAGAAAAAGACGTGACCGCGTCCGATCTCAGGAAACATTTCGATCAGTTCGGTGAAATAATCGAAATCGACATTAAAAAACAAGGGGCTGTGAGTTCTTATGCGTTTTGTCAGTACTCGGATATAGTGAGTGTTGTCAAGGCCATACGTAAGATGGACGGTGAACATTTAGGTAATAATCGAATTAAGTTAGGTTTCGGAAAGTCGATGCCTTACAACTGTGTGTGGATCGACGGCATTAACGAAAACGTTAACGAAAAGTACCTGAAAATGCAGTTTGAACCTTTTGGCGTTATAAGTAAGTTACAATTTCTTCTTTTATAAAAACATTTCTTTTATTAATGCCAAAAGCAATCCTATACAAATACTTACGATGTAAGGACATAATTTGGTTGTTAATAACCTTGCTTTGCAAATTTTGGAGTTTAAAAATTTGTGTAACTAACAACTGGTTGAAATATTATTTCTACCGAGATATTTTTACAATGACATTATACTTTTTTTACTCGCCACTTGTACAGCCAAACACTACCAGATACTAGAAGATAATAGCGAAATCTAATGGCGAAATCGTTTGATTTACTGTACTCCCACTTCACGAAATTTCCCTTTCTTTGGAATATTGCGTCCGGCGATAATTGAATTTAAATTAATCGAATACTATTTATACAGGATGTCACACAATTAAAATAACATTTTTAACTGGAATTTTAAAATGTTACAGGACATATTTTGGTTGTGAATAACCTTGCATTGCAAATTTTTATCAAATTTTGGAGTTTCTAAAATACAATTTAAAGGATTTATTAATTAAAGCGGATGGATAAATTTATTAAAGGAATTCCTTACCAAAGAATTACAAAACTACAAAAAAAAAAATTAAAAAAGAAAATTGACAATTCACTTTCTGTTCTAAATTTGAAATTTTGAATCAAAAAATATAGGTACATAACAATGCAATATAAAAATAAAGGAATAACAAGCCCACGAATTGGACAAAACAAAAATATTGTGTTTAATTAAATTATATTGTTATTTTAAGAAAAGATAACTAAGATTATTTGAGAATAAATAATTTGAGCTATTAATTAACAAAATTTTATAAAAAAATTGCACTTATTATTTTAAAATGATTGGTGCATATTAACTGGACCAAAAGTTTTGAAGTACGTCTCTCCAAATTACCACTGAGTGCAATCTAATTTGATGTCATATCTTTAATAACATGGTATCTATGATTAATTCCTTGATATTTTGTCATATTTTCTGTTGTTAATTTTCTATGAAGGGGTTTTTATCGTTAAATAAATAAATTAAAAAGAATCAGAAAACAATCCTGCTTAAATTATGGTCACATGATTCTTACTCTTTATGTGCAATGTTATTATTATTTATTTTAAATTTTTTCAAATGAACTTTTTTTTATCACTCTTTAAACATTTGGTACATGTTCAAATGTTTGATAATTTTAAGTAAATCTGGAAAATGCTTGTTTTCGACCAGATGAGGCAACGCTATGTATTCCATGCGTTATAAACATTGAGGTTCTTTAGTAATCCAGTAAATGAAGGACTGAAAAGATCGAAAGCTGTAAAAAATCGCTGATGAGTTCCCACGTAGCTCAATTTGTAGGTCATCGCAGGTGTTTTTAAATGAGAAAATCCTTAACGCGTTCTTGGAACCGGAAGGGACTGAAAACGGACCCCTAAACTCTGAAAAACGGGTTTCTCGCTAATATCTGGCTAAATATGCCAATTAGAGAATTTTTGTTCAGACAAAAAATGAAGATCGGGTCATTCTCTACAAAAATGATTGCTACCAATTTTTTCGCAATGCCAATATTTTTTGGAAAATCAGACTTCGAAAAATTCATAATTTTCATATTGAATAGATATGGTAGTTTCTTGCCGAATTTCCGCTCGATGGGGTTGGAAATGCATTGATCTTCATCTTTTGGACTTTAGAGACCAATTGCAGATGGCGCGAGCACCTTTGCTCTTCTCGCTAAATTACGGAGTCCGTAAATGAAAATCTCGGAAATAATCGATTATTCGACAATTACTGGCGGATTTCACCTGTTTTTTTCTGCAAAGTAGCGCTTGGGCTCTCTCAATTGTATTAGCGAATGTTCTGTACAATTTGAGTTGCAAATTTACCAGAAAATTGCAAAAATGTATTTTTCCTTTTGCCAAGGTCTTGAATCCCGTTGTTTTGGCTAAAAGCAAATGACAACTTTTAGAGCGTGGTGAATATTCACCATACAACCATTCTAAACATTTTTCGCATTTTTGCGATTTTTTTGCAAACTTTTTTTCGGAATAATATGGGTGCAGGATTTCGGAAAAAATACGCGTCTTTAAAAAATTACATTTATTTGGAAGAATTGGTTGGATATAAAACATACATAACAACCTTTAGGGTGTGGTCAACCACTCCAAGTCATCAGAATCATATACATATTCTTCATCGTCAGCGGTATTCTCGTCGCCTACTCCCTCTTGCTCCATTTCTACCCTTCCCCCTGTCGTCCTTTCTCTCTTTTCCTCCAGCTGAGGCAAAATAAAACAAACCTTATTTTCTGCTTCCAACAAAAAAATCCTTGAATTTTCTTTCTAGTACACAAGAATAACGTGGAAATTTCTCACTTTAAACACTTCTTTTTTTTTTAAACTGAATTAATTTAATGAAAAATATTTATTTTATTTTAAATAAATAATGAAAAAATATCATCAGTACATCAATAATCCGGTCAAGCCGACGACTCCAAAACAGAGATTGTATACAAACACATGCAGACAACTATCGCCGCGTGGGTACACGAGGTTAGGTTAGGTTATATACAATATCGTGGATCTCAGAGGGGGAGCGTAAAAATGAAGTATATAATTGTAACAACCTTTTTAGAACCAAGAACGGAAATGGGGATTGACTTATATTAATGGAAAAGTCAGAATACAAGCTTTATTTTGATCTAGTTAATAATCCTCAAAAAATAAAGAGCGATGAACAAGAAATGGTTAAACAAAAAAAGACCGGTTTTCACTCGTGTGATCAATTTTCCTCATTTCTTGAAAATTATTATACTCTATTAAAAATAAAAAAAATATATTCGAAAAGTAGACCATCTAAGCTTTAAAATGATGTGCATTGGAAATCAATATAACGGATCGATCATGAGATTATAATTCGCGCTTGTTCCGAAGATTCTATGGAACACCGAAATCGGCTAAAACATGTAAATAAACAAATCAATTTTGTATTAAAACGCAAGAAAAGTATTACAAAAAAATTTCTGAGATCATTCAAGACACCCCAAGGTCCCATTATAAAGGCAAAATTAGAATAAATGACTATTTTTAAAGAAAATATGAATAAATTAATGAAGCAGTCTCTAAATATTGTTGAAAAAAACTTGACCGTTTTTTTAAATATTTTTGGCAAATACGAACTGACTTCAAGTCACATGGAATTGTAGCTACGGGTTTTCCCATTGCGATGAACTTTGAATCATCGAAAAATATCAATTTTTCCCGAGATATGGAACAATTCGTCCGCCCACTTACACGTTAATTCATAGAAAGCTGAATTCCTGCAGGTAGAGCAGCAGCTGAAATGAGGGGACTTTTGAGTGCCACTATCTCGAAAACTATTGAATTTTCGAAGAAAATTATAAAGGCTATTTTTGGAGATAATGAGCTGATCTTCATTTTTTTGTCTAAACAAAAATTCTCTAATTGGCATATTCAGTCAGATATTAGCGGGAAACCCATTTTCCAGGTTTTAGGGGTCCATTTTCAGCCTCTTCCGGTACCAAGAACGCGTTAAGGATTTTCTCGTTTAAAAACGCCTGCGATGACCTACAAATTGCTGCACTATGTGGGAATTCATCAGCGAATTTTCTACAGGTTTGACCCTTCAATTACTGGACTATAGATAATAGTCTCTCAATCGATTCACATCAATTCATTTCAAATAGTTACTATATCGTTATCTCGACAAGTACCCATTACTAATAAAATATAATATGCAAGTGTAAAAGATCAATAATTTTTTTTTTTTTTTTTACAAAAATATGGCGATTGCCACCATTCTTCAGTCCAGATTTTAAGTCGGGATGATTTCCGGCCGCCTTACAACACAAACAACTATTTTTAGGGCTATATGCTCAACTGGATGTTGGATGATTGTTATAAAACGTATTTGTGACTAACTTTCTCGATACAACGAGAACAAAATCTTCGATTTTGATATTTAGGGAGATAAACATTCCACGATAGGTTTTACCCTATTTGAAGAGAAGTAGTCAGCTCTAGTAGAATCTCCAATCTACTTTGAAGATATTTAACTCCTGTAAAGTGTGAACAGTCACATCATCTTCACTTAAATGCCCAAATCAAAATATTAATTAATCTTCCATTTGAGAGATGACCTCAGTCATCTATTTATTTATTTGTTTCATTTTTATTTGATTGCTGATAGGTATTTTTGAAAAATAAATTCAAAATCTTAAAACGTATGAATTTGAAAGCTATAGGTGCCTTTATATCAAATAGTGAACCGCAATATACAAATGGTACTTAAAAGCTAACATAATCATGAAATAAAATACACAAGAATGCAATTATGTAATTAAGGAATTCATTGATATGAACAGGATAAAAAATACTATTTAAAAGCACTGATAACTAAAAAAAGAAGTATTGTTTACGTAGAAATCCAATTAAACTTTATTTTTTAAACTATTAAAAAAAATTATTACATGAAATAATGTATAATTAGTTGGTTGATGCTATTGAATCCATAGTACTTGTTGCATTTTTTTTATCATTATACATAGATAATATTTAAAAATAAACAATAATTCTTTTTTTTGTGAATTTGGAACATAGTTAAAATAATATATTATTTTGATATTATATTTAAAATAATATATTACTTTCAGAAATTTGCAACAATAATGATAGTGATGATTCATTAACTATTTATCTGGAGTGCAATTTTGTGACTGATTGATATAAAAACGGTTAATTAGATAATATTAATTCCGTGTTTTCTTTTAAACTAAAAATGAAGAAAACAAGTACATACAAATTACATTTGAAAATTCCACACCTGTAATTTTGAACCAATCAAAATACGTGTTTTTGACAGATCACCATGGCAACGAATGTATTTTAGTGGAAATTTTTTTCTCGTGGGGTACCCAACAGCGAATTATACTGGAAATTTTTTGACGTTTACAATAACAGACCATTTTTGACAGACTGGTTTTTATTTGTTCACATAATAGGTTTAGTTTTGATACATTTTAGTTACAATGCTAAGGTGTTTTCTATATTCTTCGGCCACTTCTTTTCTTCTTAATGGCGAAAATGCAGGACTTTGGATGCTTTGAATTATGTGTCTATGTCTAATAAAATATATATAATATTTAGACACTAATTTATTCACCTTTTTCCCATTCAGCACTTTGAATTTTGCGTAGTTTAGGTGCAAATATTCGTGGACAATTCGGAACAAATTTTCGTTTTTCAAGTTGGAGCCACAATCCTCTATTAATCCGAGTAAGTAAGTCATGGTGCAATGATTGATCATTACATCAGACAATTTCACGCATATTTTGCATAGCGTATGATTTTCAAATCGATTCATTTTTAAACAAATAGGTAATTTTGTTGGTTTTACTTGCTGTGCAATATTCTTTATCGCAACAAAACGCGAGTTATTTAATGTTTTGAACTGTCAAAATACAATGATCACAGCCTCCTACGATTGATGTTTGCTGACGCTGGTTATGAATTTCATACCATTTTAAAGCGCTCATAACGCATGTTAATAAAAACGCAGAAAAACAATTTTTTACCACTTGTAGTTATTCAAAACTTACGTAAAATTAAAGAATATACTATTTTCTATTTTCAAATGGTATTCCCATGCAACTACAATGAGTAGAAATAAGCAATTTGAAGGCCTAAATAATTGCAGCGAAACATTTTTTTACGTCGGGCCGCTTGACAACTTCAAAACTGAAATTATATCGAGGTTAGGGTCTCACTTAGTTACCATGACAACTCAACAATCAAGGCGACAACACCTTTTATGTTTCACTGGTGACTTGGAGAAAATAATTTGCATTGTTGAGAAACGAAAAATAAATTTTAAAAATATTTAATTTTCAACCATAATTCGGCGTGGAATTTTCTTACCGAATACCACGCGAGGTCAAATTAATATCAGGAAATTTTTTCTCGCTCATGAATATTTTTAGAAAATTTCATGAGCTCGAAAAAATTTCCGGAAATAATTTGACCTCTAGTGGTATTACTAGTGAAAATATTACAATATTACAACTTTTTTTTGTGAATAAATTTTGAATCCACGTTTGACATTAACCTACAACTTCATTAGGCAACTTTTCATACACTTTGTTGTAAACAATGTTGCCTAATTACCTATTCTGTGCACATGTTTTAATAACTTTTTTTATTAAATAAACTTAACCTGTAGTGATAAAAATATATAATAATATTACAATCAAAAAATACATTTTTTAATTACGAATTATATTAAAAATATTAAAATGATACACGCAAAATCGGCCTTTCATTCGTTCACATTTTAGTTGACGAATACAGAGTGAACGATGTTTAACTTTCATAGCCATTCTAGATTTGAAAAGAAACTAAACAGCATATAATAAACATTGCTTTTTTTACAGATAAGTTACACATAGATCGCGAAAAGGGACAAGCACTTGTATTCTATGATCAAGTAATGAGCGCACAGACGGCGGTAACCAAAATGCGCGGTTTTACACTAAAAAATACTAAAATTCAAGTCGATTTTGCGAGCAGGGAGTGTCAAGAATCATTCTTCGAGAGGTTAGAAAAACAGGGCACCATTCTTGATAGAACTGCTTTCGAAGAAAGAAGAGAGCCCACCGCCAGAACCTTCGAGATAACAGCATCCAGGTTTTCAAGGTAAATTAATTTAGTTTTAATTTTTAACTATACAGAATCATAATCAGTTATCCCTTGAGTTTCTCTATTATTATATTATGTCAAATAGATTTTTATTTGAAAGGTGCAGTTATCTATGGGCTAGAGATACAATTAGTGCAAAAAATTATAGAAATTTTTCATTGTAACTTCGGAGTCATTGTAGAGGTGGAGAACTATCAATAGTCGTCCATCAACGATTGATAGTTTCTTTATAATAAAAGAATACATTTTATTATAGGTTTTATTAAAAACATTTTTAAAACAAATAATGTTGACCAAAAATCCACAATTCTTATTTAAAGTGTTTTGGTTCAATTCTTGAATACCAGTCTGAAATGATATATCATTGTAGCCTTTGAAAAGTACCTGGTTTTGCTTTTTTTACTCGATACCGTTCTTTTAATACATCCAAGCTCTGTTTGCTGCATTTATATAGTTTGCTAAATGTCAAATGACCAAAAAGGAATAATCACGTCAGCTAGTACGCTTTTCGATTTTAAATGTTTTTTAAAGATTATCCTGAGAATCAATATATTGTGATGATTGTCCAATCAAAATATTCATTTGTTGTTCTAAAAACAATGATTGATGTTTTCCCTGGATCTAAAATATTGCTGTTTAAATCTTGAATCAAGAATGGTGGAACTGACATTTGTGTTGTATTGAAAATTAAAATCTAGAACTATCGATAGTGTTCTATAGTCCAGACTAACGATAGGGTTATTCATAGTTTTTCACCTCTGGTAGGTAATACATCAACATTGTTGATGTATCACTGTATCGATTCAAATTTTGGTCTGCACGTACGGTTTTTTATACACAGTGATACCTTCATCCTTAACTCTGCTCTTCGAAACCTATAATCTGTATCATATAATCTATAACTTTTTGTTTGTTTGCAGATATGACACGCCTACGCGACCGCGAACATCATCGTACAGCAGCAGGTCGAACGCTTCGGCGAGTCAAGTGACTTCTTTACAATCGCCGGGAACACCAGGATCAGTAACGCCGAGAGGCACCGGCTCAAGATCGCGAACGGCCCGTTTCGCCGACTACTACGACCAAACTTTGGATTACGCGGATCGTCATTTTCGCAGCTACGACGAATACAGTCAGAGTTCTACGGCGTCGCACGAAGATTTGTACGAGCACGAGTATGGGTTCGTTCATGATGCAGGTGATCCTTTGCAAGGTACGTACTGGGAATTAACGATTCTGTATTTATTTACTAAGATTTTTTAAATATTCATATTTTAAACTCTCACACTGAATACGCCTCTGTACAAGCGCGCGCTTTTTCTAGGCAGTCATCTTAATTAGTGTTTTGTATAGTACCATTTTCCTCGTTCAAATTGGATCAATAATAAAGAAATTTATATAAATGAAAATTTCCTTGGTTTAATCGATCAAATGTTTTTTATATTCTATTGTTTAGCACACTACACAATAAAAAAATGTCATGTTCAAGAGCCATCTAGAAGACATAGCTCATTCTTATATCACATGAGGTTAGATAATACAATTCTTTAAGTATGTGTAAGAAAATGTTCCTCACAATATTAGGTTTAAAAGAGAAGATGACACAAAACTGGATTCTCAAAAGTCAAAATCATGGTCTTATAAACAGAACGGAAGTTCCCATTTGAAGGAAAAGTTCAAAACGAAGTGCTTCATCTTTTTTTAAGGAAACTGCCAAACAGATAGATTTTTTTAAAACTTTTTTTGGGTATCCAGTCAATTCGTCGCGCGACAATTTATCGCGCGACCTTTCAGAGCCGACAATTCATCGCCACGACTTTTCATCGCTACGAGTTTATCGCCACAAAAATATCGTATTGTATCTATGATTTATACAGTATGTCTGAAAAACAAACAATTTTTTTTGTGCTATATTCAATTTTTCTTATAAGTACCAAATAAAATTATTTTTTCGAAAAAATTACAAAATACCTTACTCTAAATTACACAAAAATATGATTTACTTTTTTTTCTGCTAATCAAGTAGTTTTTACCAAGAAAAATATAATAAATATCAATAATTTATTATTGATAAGCCAATTTAAAGTGTATAAGCGGCAGTCGCAGGTTCTCAACAGTCCTTTACCTACTATTTAAAAAGGATTATCTTCATTAGCCAATTCGGGTAAGTTACCACATTAGTTAATAATAATAGAGAATTATAATTATCCTTTATTAATCCTTTCAAGGAGAAATTCATAGTGCAATCAATATTTAATTCTAAAAAGGATTATCTTCAATAGCTTGTTTGTGTAAGTTAGTATTTTAGATGCCCTGTTTATAATATATGTATATAAGGTTTAAATAAGAAATACCAACGAACTGTAATCATTCTTATTTTGGGTGATAAAAAGCTGCGGTGTGATAAGGACACTTTACCCCCTTATGAACAGGCGCAGTAGAGTCACTTTGAATAATAAAATTCTCCTATACAAGTCAATATTCAGACCTATACTAACATATGGCTGTCCGGTTTTTTGCTCTATGGCCTCAGTTCACCACAGTAAGCTACAAAAAGCTCAAAACAAATGTCTGAGGCTAGTTCTGGGGTGCGATCGTTACACTAGAATACGAGACATGCATACGACTACAAATATGCCATACATGCATGAATTCATCACAGCAACAGCTGAAAGCTTTTACGAGCGATGCCTCCCTGATGAGTTAAGGGCTAGTATCATTAACATACATCGGGAAGACGGCGTGCGTAGAAAGCACGGATGTCTTCATGAATGTCTTAGCATATACCGATGACAGTAACAGGACCCTCCACATTTCCATAACGTACTAAACAACAATTCACTCGACGAAGATACTTGGGAGATCTAGTCGGACGGACGACTGAACGGTAGAGCCAACCGATGGGACCACGGCCGAGGGCGACTCCGGCCTCGACTGTGGCCCTTTCGGGGGGTTTTATAGGGCAGATGTCCTGTGAATTGTTACAATAACAACAGACTATCGAAAGACCAACGTACACTGCTGACAACCCTGTTTTTTCCTAGCTTTTTCAGGGGACAAAGACCAAATTAATCCACGACAAATCTTTAAACTATGACAATTACTGACTACAAAACAATCACAATCCCTCAATAATGCCTCTCTGGCAAGGAGTGAGGACTGCTATGTTTAGCCTAATCTTACCTTTTAGCAACAGAAGATAAAATAGGCGAAAGTATCGCCATAGACTCGGCAGGAACCTGCTGCGTCGACACAAAACCCCGGGTTTTGAGTATAGAATTTTATTTTATGTTGTATATATTTGTATTGTATTATTTTGTAAATAAAGATTTCAAATGTAAAAATCATTGCAAAGGTTTCCGAGGGTTTATCATCATCGGCTGCAGCCAGATTACCACAAGTGAGTGCAATGAAAAGAACTATTCAACGAAAAAAGGAAAAGACAGAAAAAATTCCTGCGATTCCAAATTCTCTGCTTCAATTAGTTATTCCACAGGAATATACACTGACAAGCAGTGGTCAGTTATTTTTAATGTACGACAGCGGCCCATCAGAAGATCGAATATTAGTGTCTACAACAGCAAGAAATCTTGACTACATGTTGGAGTGTGAACACTGGTACGGAGATGGAACTTTTTCAACAGCCCCTAATATGTTTTCCCAAATATATACAATCCATAGCGTCAAATATTAAAATACCATTCCAACAGTATATGCAATTCTGCCGAATAAAAGAGACGTTTATATGCAGCATTAAAAAATTTGAAACCTGAACTTTGCCCTACATCTTTTTTAATGGATTTCGAAAAAGCAGCGATGAATGCGGTACGAAGTGAATTCCCTAATACTCAAATTCGTGGATGCTTTTTTCATTTTTCTCAGTGTATATGGAGACAAATCCAGAATACCGGATTTCAGAGGCGATATGTGGATGAAGAAGTGTTTTCATCAAATTTGCGACTTCTGGCTGCACTTGCTTATGTTCCTGAAGACGATGTAGAGAGTGCTTTTGATTTATTATTGGAAAGTGAATTCTATGCAGAAAACGAGGACTTAGCAGATTTAATAAACTATTTTGAAGACACGTGGATTGGTAGATTAGACAGAAGAGGAAGAAGACATTACCAAAATTTCCTATATCTTCTTGGAATTGTTACAATGTAGCCAGAGAGGGAATTGCTAGAACCAATAATGCAGTTGAAGGATGGCATAACAGTTTCAGTTCAATTGTTTCCATTGCACATCCCAACATTTGGAGGCTAATTAAGTCTTTACAAAAGGAGGAAAGCCTTAACAAATTGAAAATAGAGCAAATTGTGGCAGGTAATGAAATTACTCAAAAAAAAATTTACAAAGATTCTGCACGTCGTTTAAAACTACTTACAGAATCCTACGACGCTCATAATACCATGGAATATCTTCGAGGAATTGCGTATAATTTTCGAATGCAAGTCTAAATTATTTAATATTATTATATTATATTAATTCAATTTAAAATGTAATAACTAGCAACTACAATTTTTTATAATATATTTTTTTTTTCAGTATACCTACCTACTTGTTTTTTATTACCTATACTAAAAAATATATAAAATAAAATTTTGATTATAATAAAAAAAAATAAAATAAACCATAAAATGAATTCTAAAAAATGATTTACAGGCATCAGTTTTTGTGTCCTGCATTATAAAGCATCTCGAGAAGAATTGTTTACAAGAAAAAAAAGGGCATAATTAATAAGATGTATTCGAATATACCTTTACATGATGTGAAATAGAATGAAGGCGGTTTATTATTTTAAAAAAATTTTAAACTGTATTCGTCCCCATAATTTTTTTTAAATGGAAGATGGAAAAATTGTATTTTCCGAAACATATGTATTGCGCTAAACAATAGAAAATAAAAACATTTGACCGATTAAACCAAGGAAATTTTTATTTATATAAAATTCTGCTACAGTCAGGAAATTATCCTTATAGTCCGGTCAATTTGACATATGGGGGTACAAAAATTCCCACCCAGCTGAAAATTGGTAGGATTGTTCAAAACACCATTATAAATGAAACCTAAAAAGTTCTTATCAATCCGGCACCTGGAAAAAAAATTACTCGGGGTTAAAGGTCACAAAAACGGGTTTTTTCGCGATTTTCAGCAAAACGGTAAGTTTTATCACAAAATTAGGTCAGACAAAAATTATAGAGCAGATAATTATCTATAGAAAATGTCTAAATGTCTACAATTTTTGTCTGACCTAATTTTGTGATAAAACTTACCGTTTTGCTGAAAATCGCGAAAAACCCGTTTTTGTGACCTTTAACCCCGAGTAAATTTTTTTCCAGGTGCCGGATTGATGAGGACTTTTTAGGTTTCATTTATAATGGTGTTTTGAACAATCCTACCAATTTTCAGCTGGGTGGGAATTTTTGTACCCTCACTCCTATTTTTTGGTCTAATTTGACCGGACTATTATTTAAATAAAGAAATTATATTAATAAAATTTCTCCTCTGGACACATATACAAAATTCTTTCAATTTCTTCTATTACCCAGTAAATACATCCCCCTGAAGAAGGTAAACGTCAGTTACATCAATTTTCCACTTAAATTTTAATATTGGCAACTGTCCTGTTTTTCCATAATTTAAATAGGTATTATTGCTCAAGTTGTGAAACATTTTACCTATACATTCGCCTATATATTTTAAAGTTATTAATAAGACAGCTAAAATGGTATACTTTATCTTTTCTCCCTTCCATTCAAAGTTAAGGTTTTATTGCTTATATTTTGTCAAGGGGTAAATATTTTTTTTCCAATGCTTGCACCCAATAAACATTTTTGATTGTATAGTAGTTACCGTTACTTTTATAACACTTTACTTATAAAACTTACAGTTATATATTTGGTAACCGTAACATTTCTCTTGCTGCTATAAACCTCTTAAAGAGCTTAAATGGGGCATTTATAAAGGTTGAGAACACCTTTGTTTAGTAACGCTAATAACTTAAAGTTGTATGAGTAACACTAACAGAAACATTGTGGAAACCATTAAATAACTTACAATATAGTGTTGTACAGTTTTAGGCAACCTTTATATATAACCAATAGTTTTATAATAAATATAGTCAACACCACTTCCTACCAGTTTTTATAAAGGTAATTTATGACACCATTAAAAAACTTAAGGTATTTTAGTTATATAAATAGAGTTACGGTAACCCATATGTCACTTTTTTATAAAACCACTAGTAACCGTTACTTAAAGTTTTATAAAATAGTGATGGAAATAGTTCTGTTACCTTGTTATAAACCCATAACTGCTAGTAATATTATAAAACCATCATAAAACCTGATTACAAAAAGGTACAGGTTATAAAACTTCCAAACCTTCTTATATAAATTTTTTACTATTATATATCTATAATAAAAATTCGGGTTCACTGTTAAGGTAGTTAAAATCTTTTACCTAACTCTTATTTGATTGCAAATTGCTTAAGGTCGCTATTTTAGTGACTTTACATAGTTAAAATAGATAAAAAACAGTAATTCTTTGTTATAACTACCAATTCACGGAATTGACGAATTGAAAAATTGATAATTTGCAATAATATATAAAAAAATAATGCTTTATCCAGAAACGAGTATTGTTGAACATAGTCGCGTAGTTCCTAAAGCAATAAAACATTATTATCAATAAACTCGTTTACCTAGAAAAATGTTTATAATTCCATTAATTGTTATGGAGGTCTTATCAAGATTTAATTAAAAGATAATAAAATCATTTTAATTACCGAATTAATCACGCCGTTAAAACCGTAGATATAGATGCCAGCCCATAATCGTTTCGATATTCATAATTTACCAAACAATAATTTATTGTATGCGTCCAGGATATTATACATAATTAAAAAATAAAAATTATATAATCGCTAATTGTAATTGGTCGGACAATAGATGTATCACGGCATACCTAAACTATTACCGGTATGTTTAAAAAATATTTCTAAATAGCAAGGTCGGCATTTAAGCCAAAATATTTGCGAGGCACTGGCGAAAAAACAGGGGATTCTCGAGAGATGTTTCAATGGAAAATTGATTAGTAGATACGGAATTTTTTATTATCTATGGAGTAGCAATATTTTCGACGATCCTAAAGCTTTTAAGTTAGTTGTCATTGAATTTGCCAAAAATATAATAAATAAATTAAATCATGAGTGGATTTTGAAGAAGTTTGGGTCAGAGACTGGATTAGACACAGGAATAATCTGAGTAGTTTTGAACAACTGTTAGGCCCGTATTTATAAACAGATCTCAGATGAGTCCTAAATCGTCCTTGAACGAAAATCGAAGTTCGGTTATATCGCGTGAATTAAGAGATGGGTAGTGAAAAATCCGTAAATGTACTTAATAGTTACGGATTTGCTATTGTCCATCTCTAAATTGCAGTTTTTTTTAAGTGGTGGGTTATATTGCAATTATATATCGATGATTAAATTCTAACATGTCGTATCCCCGCTAAATGGAATTTTACAGGAGACACAAATAACTATTTTGGCTTAGCTAGAAAGTACAATCTATTGATGTAATTATTCATTAAATTATAAGATCTATTTTTTTTAATAACAAATAAAATAATTTTCTGCAACATCTATAAGATGGTTAACGACATATTAGAATTTTATAATTGTGGTTTGAGACTTTTTGTTTTGTATTGAGTATCGTACTTTACTGGTGTGTGTTTGTAGAATGATGTGGGTTACTATAAATAAAAGCAACAAATACCATAACAAAACTCTAACTTTATTCTAAAAATATCTTTACATAAGTCAAAAATGAAAAATTATAATAATTATGAATAAGTAAATTTTATTTTATAGGAACATATGGTAAATTGTCATAAAAGTTGTGCACATCTAAATTTAATACTGTTTTTAAATCTTGTGTTTCCACATAGTTTCTTTTATTGACAGTCTTGTTAAAAACACATTTCTAAAGTCTTGATTTTTTGGCAGTGGTGGTAAACAGGTTCGTTGGGGCAAAATGTTATATTTTTGGTCGTAATTGACTTTATAGTGAATCGTTTCACCTTAGATCTGCCACAGTTGCGTCGCTTTTTATTTTGCCGGGTCTTATAGATTCAAATCGAGTAACAGCTTTTTCATTATATTAAAAAAAAAAAAAATCGTGACCGAGATACTCGACATCAAGTGGAAAAGGTTTTTTCGAGCTTCTAAAATAACTTGTACATATTGAGAGGGAAGGGTGATTTCGCGACCTTTTAATTTTCTGTCTATAAGGGCATGAGTAAAGTCACACTCCATTCGAGTGTGACCCTTCTCAAGATATTTTTGTTCAATTTGAAATTCGTATTTTGTGGAAAAAAAGCTTAACGCGTTATATAAAGTGGTGTTCCTCTTTTGATACCCGCAGCCATCTGAAAATATAATTATGCCCTTTTCTTCTTGTAAACAATTCTTCTCAAGATGCTTTATAATGCAGGACACAAAAACTGATGACTGTAAATCCCCTTCAGTCTCATTCCATACGTAATTTGTGCACTGGTGTGTTGCCAAGTTATAAATCGTGAATATGTGGACCTGTAGTCTAGTCTTATAGTAAATCTTGCTAGCCTCAATAACAGGATATAATTTGACTGACTGCACATCCATAGTAAACATATAATGCTTTCCATTAACTGCATCTTCTTTATCTTTTCTCTTTTCTTCTTGTGCTTCATTCTTTTTCTTTAATGATTTTGATACTCTTCTTCGCTGAGTTGTTTGGCTTTGAATTGAAGACATGTGTCGCACTGATCCTTTCTGGGCTTATACAATGCCAGATTAAGACTGTAAAAGACCTAGTTTAAAGTAGTTATTGAAACAGCCGTTTTATTTTCAGTCTCACATTTGTTTTTATTTAGATCAAAGATTTCATTTTTTATTTGAAACAGATGTTGCAAGTACTGCTTTTCTGAATCCTTGCGACAATAGTGCAACTCTGCTTTTGGCAAAAGATCAAAAAAGTTTTAAGAAAATCTATCTGTTTGGCAGTTTCCTTAAAAAAAAAAGATGAAGCACTTCGTTTTGAACTTTTTCTTCCATTGTCAACTTCTGTTCTGTTTGTAAGATCATGATTTTGACTTTTGAGAACCCAGTTTTGTGTCATCTTCTCTTTTAAACCTAATGTTGTGAGGAACATTTTCTTATAGACTTGAAGATTTGTATTATCTAACCTTAGGTGATATAAGAATGAGCAGCCATGTCTTCTAGATGGCCCTTGAACATAACATCTTTTTTTTATTATAAAGAACCAAGCCTAAAACATACACCTTCTTTTGGTGGCCAGGTCATCTTCCAGAATAATTCAAATATTTATTTGCGTTTTTCAGAAGTAAAGGAATCACAGTTTCTTTTTGACGACTTTTTACACAATGCTCCATTTACGCAACCTTCCTTAAGACTTCGAGCAGCTTTTTGATTATTTTGTTTGATAGATCCATTTTTTTTTTGTACCCCAAGTAAGCTTCCCCCAACATTCTAAATTTCTTGCTTTTGTTCTTTTGCCATTCTTCAGGATTTGGTATCTTCCTTCGTACTCTCTATTTAGGTTTGTTTTCGTATGGTGTAGGTTTTCACTATTATCAATTTCTCCCTTTTCGTATAGTCCAATTTATTTAAGTGTTACATCAGGTTGCCAACCAGGGTCATCAATATTTTCGTAATCTGAGTTGGGATCAATTTCTTCACCTGTTTCAATAGTTTTAATTTCATTGTTTGCCTCTCCATTTTCTGAGTTTGCAGGGGTGTTTCATCATTACCATTATGAACCATGTTGGTGACTAAAAACACTTTTTTAGAAAACAAAAATAAATTCTTACCTGATAGCGAATTTTCTTCAGTAGATTCTAGTGCCTCTTCGTCAACGGGCAAAAACAGCGCATTATCAATAACGTTGCAATTGTACAATACATTATTCTTCAATTTCTCCAAAGACAGCTCCACAATTTTCTTACTTCTACTTCCCATCTACATTGTAAAATAACAATAAATTATTACTAGTAATCCTGTAAAACTTTGACATGCAAACAACATTATTTCTTAAGTTAATTTTTTGATTAATGTTTTTTACAATGAAAGTGTGAGCCCATAATAGTAATTCAAAAAATATATCATTTTATTATCGACTACAAAGTGTACTTCTAAAAGGACGTATAAACAAAATCAATAACTTTCTAGTTATATTTAATAAAAGTAAACGAATTATCAACATATTTAAACATAATATAAATAATTATTACAGGTAAATACTAACCTTTTTACACCAATTTTAACAGAACAGAAGAGAGTAACCTAGCCATTTCCATTGGTCTGAAGTATCTGGTCTTTTAAAATTAGTTCGGGAGCCGTAAAAGTAGTTCTAAAATGACCTAAAAGCCAAATCGTAAAAATTGTGGGTTACAACATGTTAGAATTTAACCATCGATATATGACATCTCTATCAGGATTCTTCACACATTCTTGGCATTCAATTACTATCTATTATTTCAGTACTCAACTATAGTGTATTGTATACGTAGCTTAAACGTTCAATATTGAATTATCAACTATAATCGTTTGTAGACGTATATATTATTATTATAATACTGTTTCTTTTTTTCAGTTCTGGACAATGTGGTTCCGTTCGCCCCACCGGACATGCGGAATTTACAAAAAGAACGCGTCCACCTTCTCGAACAACTGGAAGAGTGTCCTAGTTCCGGAGACGAACTTATAAGTCCGAAGAAACGATTAAAGCTGGATTTACTCGACACCGTGATCACCAGCGATGTCATTATCGAAGCAAACAGAGATCATAGAAAAGTTAGTGATTCAAGCGATTTTTATAAGGAATAACAAAATTAACCGTATACGTTCTCAATTTTCAGGTAATGGAAGTACGAAGGCTGTCAGACGTCAACCTAAAACACCACTCGAGGCGACCGTCCATGGATTCTAGCAAACACGTTAGGCACGATGTGGTTTACGTACCGCATTCCGTGTGCAAGAGAAGGAAGACGGCTGGTAGCGACAGCGGATCCAAAGTTCATCATTACGATCATTCCGGATCGGAAAGCGTCGGGGGTTCCCGGCCCGGTACGCCGCTGTGCGACGAACGACCTGAAAACTTTCAACCCAGTGAACCGAGGCGGGTGCCGAGGGAGAGGGAGGGCCCTCTCAGCTTGCCATTGCCTAGGTTCGCCTCGCAAATTATCAACAGAGGTGAGTTTTTAGTTACTGTATAAAAAAAACAACATATTTTTAAGTCTTAGATCTCTAAACTAATAGAAGAGATGTTTAAATATGGATGAACAGCAATATTGATACATTACTCCTTTTTTGATACCAAGATTTAGTTAAAAAAAATGTGTTCCATCGTTGAAAAGTTAAAAATTTGTATTTATAGATATCTAAATACGAGTATTCAAATATTTTTAAACAAATTGGAATGTCTATTTTCTAAGATACCAAGTTCATTTAAAATTATTTTGACCAGACTTCAACATGGATTTTCGTGTTCAAAATGACAATATAATAAATCTTTTACATTTTCTTTTACATCTCTTACATCTTTTACAAGTCTTACATCTCTAACATCTTTTACAACTCTTACATCTCTAACATCTTTTACAACTCTTACATCTCTTAAATCTCTTACATCTTTTATATCTTTAACATCTCTTATATATTTAACATCTCTTACGCTAAATGCACAAGTCCTATAGTTTGCCGGTCTGTGATGTCTACGCATTGACATACATTTATTTAAATGGTGGAATTCGCACTGCCAAATGAAAGTTCGTGTGAAGTCCACCGGTTAATTAAATGTATTTCATTGCCGCATATCATTCACAACACGGCAAACTATACGTCGTGTTCATTTAGCATTGCATCTCTTACATCTTTTACATCTCTTATATCTTTTATGTCTTACACATTTTTCATCTTTAACATCTCTTACATCTATTGCATATTATCTTATATCTCTTACATATCTCTTACATATCTCTTACATATCTCTTACATATCTCTTACATATCTCTTACATATCTCTTACATATCTCTTACATATCTCTTACATATCTCTTACATATCTCTTACATATCTCTTACATATCTCTTACATATCTCTTACATATCTCTTACATATCTCTTACATATCTCTTACATATCTCTTACATATCTCTTACATATCTCTTACATATCTCTTACATATCTCTTACATATCTCTTACATATCTCTTACATATCTCTTACATATCTCTTACATCTCTTATATCTCTTACATATTTTCCTACATCTCTTATATCTCTTACATCTTTTACATATATGGACATGCATTATGGATATTTGTTGTACATTTGTAATTAACTTTTAATTTTGTTCTCTTTAATTTATATCTATAATTGGTTATCTATAACTTGTAGCTTTGACAACAAACATATTTGATTGATTGATTGAAAACAAACATTTTTATCACTTTATACCTTTGTTTCAGGCCCGGTCTCTGTGGCTGGCATCAAAGGCCAAAAAGACAATATCCTATCTAGTCCACCTCCCGCAGTCACAAGCCCTAGAATATCAAATCCCCGACCTCCTAGTCCCGTTCACGTACCTCCACCAGCGTCGCCGCCTCCACGACCGCCCAGTTTGAGTTCCAACTCTAGCGACAGCGACGCAACACCTCCTAGTCCATCCCTCGAAGAACGAATCAAATCCCTAGACGAGAAATACGAAAAATGGTCCGGATCTAGGGCGTTGAGCGCGGCCGGGGGAGACGCTTTAGCTTTACTAGACGCGAATCTGGAGAAGTTTCGACAGCGGCACAAAATCCTGGATTTGGATCTCAAGGAGGTCCAACCTTCGGAGATCGTTAAATCTGTGATGGCGAAGCGGTCGGTGTTCGACGAGGATTTGAAGAGGTTGGAGAACGTAGGCGAGAAATACGAACCGAAGGATTTTACGTTTTTTCCGAGGAGTACTTTGACCACCGCCCCGACTTCAGTACCTGTAACTCCTTTGCCAGCACCGCCGCCCGCACTGAAGGTTAATACGATAACGCAACAAATTCCCAAAACTCCTACTATGCTGTCACCGAGATCGACAGGTAAGATTTTATTTTATTTTTTAATAATATTCAGACATGCGACATTTTTAAAAGTATATGATTTGCAACATAGAAGTAAAAAATAATTTAAACTGTAGGGATTTGTCGTGATTTTTCAAAAATTGGTTTAACAATTTTGCGTTACTTATTTCTTTGACAGAATTCGGAAGTTTATTAAACAAAATTACACAAGAATAGTGACACAACTCAAAGACAGAATTTTTATGGGAATAAACAGTGTTCAAACAATGATAACATAAAAAACAAATTTATTTTTATTTCTCTGAGTTATGACGGTTTTCAAGAAAATTGTATTTCACTACATATTGATAATTACTTTTTCAACAATAATGTCATAATTTGTAAAGTGTATTATCTAAAAGAATGGGATTGGTCCATCCAAAATATGGATCTAAAGAGCGAACAGCGGCTTAGCCCCACTAGGGGCGTTTTTTGGCCACTTTGTGTCACTGTTGAAAATAATGTAGTGTATTACTGGCATATTTTTATTAATGTCACTCTATCTTAAAATTGGCGATCTTGTTTTATTAACTGTCAGAGCACAATAGGAAGTATATAATTGACAAAATCGAAATAAAAAATAATTTAAATTTTACGATTCTAGATTTGTCATGATTCAATTTTTTTTTAATTATCTTTCTTTACTTATTTATTCGACAGAGCTTGAAAATTTATTTAAAAAATGTATTGACATATCGTTAGTAGGTACACAAGAATAGTAACACAACTTAAAAACACAGATTTTTCTAGTACATCCATTTTAAAAATGTTTTGTTTCCATACAAGGCATTTTAAAAATGTTTTGGAAATAAAAATTAGTGTTCACCTTGTATTCAAACATCTTTTGAGTTATGACGTTCTTCCAAAAAATATATTTCAATTACCTTTTTCAATGATAATGTCCTAATTCGAGTTGTGTTACTGTTAAAAATGCGATTAGTTTATTGGCGATCTTGTCTTGTTGACGGTCGGAACATAAGAGGAAGTATATGATTTACAACATCAAAGAAAAGATAATTTAAACTGTAGGATTCTAGATTTGTAATGATTTTTCGATTTTTTTTAATGATTTTTCGTTACTTATTTTTTTGGAAGTTTATTAAAAAAATGATTGACATCGTTGGCTCACAAGAATAGTGACACAACTCAAAACATAGATTTTTCGAGTACATCAATTTAAAAGGCTCTTGCATTCAAACAATGACAAGTTTGCTTTGATAACTAAAAAAAAAATATATATTTTCATTCCTATTTTGAGTTATGACGTTCTTTCATAAAATTATATATTGCACCATATTAATAATTACATTTTCAACAATAATATATTAATTTGACTTGTGTGACTGTTGAAAATAATGTTCTAGTTTAATTTTAAAAAACTGGCGTATTTTGATTTATGTCACTCTATCCTAAAATTGGCGATCTTATATTATTGGCTGTCTGAGCGCAAGAGGAAGTATATGATTCACAACATCAAAGTAAAAAACAATTTTAAACTGTAGGATTCTAGATTTGTCGTGATTTTTCGATTTTTTTAAATGATTTTTCGTTACTTATTTTTTTGACAGTTTGGAAGTATAATAAAAAAATTATTGACATATCGTTGGTACACAAAAATTGTGACAACTTTTGAGTTAAGGCGTTCTTTCAGAAAATTATATTTGACATCATATTGATAATTAATTTTTCAACAATAATGTCCTAATTTGACTTGTGTCACTGTTAAAAATGCGATTACGTTATCTTTAATAAAACTGGCACATTTTGATTTATGTCACTCTAGCTGGAAATTGGCGATCTTTTCTTGTTGACTGTCTAAGCACAACAGCAAGTTTATGATTCACAATATCGAAATAAAAATTCTTTTAAACTGTAGGGTTGTAGATTTGTCGTTAATTTCTTGAATTTTGCAAAAAAAATTAATGATTTTTCTTTACTTATACAAGAATAGTGACGCAACTCAAACACATATTTTAAAGTACATCTATTTTAAAGTTTCTTGTTTCCTATAAAAATTGTCTTGATCTTCCATTTTAATAACGTTTAAATATTTTTTGTGAATAAACAGTGACAAGTTTGCTTTGATTACATTAAGAAAAACTCCAAAAATATTGAATTTTCATCCCTTTTTAAGTTATGCCGATGTTCCAGAAAAGTATATTTTACACCATATTGACAACGGCCTTTTAACAATGTCTTTGACTTAGTTTATGTTCAATAAAACTGGCATATTTTGATTTATGTCACTCTAGTCAAAAATTAACTTTCAAAATAATGTTAAAAGTGATGCATAGTGCATATTATCAGATCGGTAATAAAAAAGGTGAAATTTTAACTGAAGAATTATATTTTTAACTCAATAGCTTTGAGAGTTGAATTCGAGGCCAAAAAATTTTTGGCAACACTGTCATATGTAATTTTAAGGTTAGATTGCAAAAAATATAAATTATACACTGCGATTTATTTAAAAAAATCAAACTTAATGTCATTCCCAGTAAAATCGGAAGTCAGCCATTTTGTAAAAATATAAGTCGCTACTTGGCAACAATAATGGCACATCTCAAAAATAGTAATTTTAAAGAAAATTGAGTTTAAAAATTGATTTTACCTTTATCAAAATTGATAGATTATAAATAGGAATTTGAAGTTTGACGTTGATTATAATTTATCTTTTAGATTATAAATTCATAAAGATTTTTTTGTTTTTAACTTGAATTTGATAAGATGTGTTATAGTTAATTTATTAATTATAGTCTATACTGGCATATTTAAAAATGTGTCACTATATTTTGGCACTTGAATCAATTCGTACAACTCAAAAGTGTCACTATTGTCCAAACATAACGAAACCTTCTCTAACATAACATTGGTGCAGCTTAAATAGAAAACAATACAATGCTGTAGTGACATATTCACCATCTCGGGGAATATATGCTAACTAAAATTGCGCCAGTCTTCCTCGAAAATAAATTATTAAATTTAACGTTACATTTATCTACGGTTTTAGATTTTTTTTTAGTTGTGCCACTATTACTCTCAGTGAGTGAAGTGTCAATTCTAAATTATGTCTAGTAGGTTTGTCTTAAATTTGATCTAAATCGCCTAATAAATGAAAGAAATATTAACGTAGCCTTTGTCTCATTCTACAAAGTATCAACAAACGTACATATTCCTTTTAGGTTCCGGAATCCAAGCGGCTAAAGGTCTCCAATACCCGTTTCCGACGCATCCGCCGAATCTAATGTTGCCGGCGGTTATCTCTCCGCTCCCGCTACCGCAAACGCCGCCTCTAGCAGCAGTAGTGACAACAACAACAGCAACAACATCAACAGTGCAATTGTCGACGGCGACGACAACCATAAGTGCGACACCGGCGGCGGTAGTGGTAGCGGCGACTACAACGACGTCGACGACGACGACGCCATCCCTAGTTGCGAGTTCGCGAGGCGCTTCACATGGTGATAACAGACTGAAACCGTGCCCGAGTGCGCCGAGCGACGCAAGAACTTCTAGTAAAATGATTGTAAATAAAACTAACGTAGTAGTGCCCCCGTTAACTTCTGTTAAAATTAACGAAAAGACCAATGTCAACATTCCTAACGCGAGCGACGCCAAGTTCGTTCGGGACGCCGCGAAACCGGGCGACAAGTGCGACAAGATTTCGTCGCGCAGAGATTCCAGCAGTAGCAGTAATTCGCCGCGCGCGGACGTCAAAACCAGAAGAAACAGTGACACGAGTGCGCGCCGATCGGACGACAGTGCGGAACAGGCTCACAAAGAACGAGCCCAAAGCGAAGAGAGAAAACGGGAAAGAATCGAAAAAATTAAAATCGAAAACGAGAAACTAGAAAAAGAAAAATCAGAACGGGAACGCATAGAACGCGAGAGACACGAACACGAAAAACAAGAAAAACTCAGACTAGAGAAAGAACGTCAGGAAAAGGAAAGATTAGAACGCGAAAGCGAATTGGAGAAACAACGGTTAGAAAAAGAGAGACTTGAAAAGGAGAGGTTAGAGAAAGAACAACAACAAGAAAAAGAGCGATTAGAAAAAGAACGACTAGAAAAAGAAAAACTCAAATTAGAAAAAGAACAATTAGAAAAGGCGCAACGGGAAAAGGAGCGTCTTGAAAAAGAAAAACAAGAGCAAGAACGGTCTGAACGAGAAAGGCTCGAGAAAGAACGAAAAGAAAAAGATGAAATAGAAAGGCGATTGCGCGATGAACAACACGAAAAGGAGCGTTCAGAAAAAGAAAGGCACGATCGCGAGAAAAGAGAGAAAGATGAACACGATAAAAAACACAGGGAAGAAAAAGATAGAAGGGACGATGAAGAAAAAGTTGAAAACACGAAACCTGACAAAGAAAAATTAGATCGAGAGAAAGAACGAGCCAAACACAAAGAAGACAATCATGATAAGAGAAAAGATGACCATAAGCATCGAGAACCTCATAGTGATACTAAACATAGGGAAAATCACCTTGATAAGCACTTATTTGATAATAAAACCACCAAAGACCCTTCGAAAGATGATAAATTAGGCAGTAGAGACGTAAACCAAATTAGCACAAAAGATCTACACGAATCGAGAAGCAGCTTTGAAAAGAAACTCCACGTACACGTAGATAGAGACTCGGAGAGAAGAAAAGAGAGTATAAAAGAAAATAGAGATAATAACATACACGAAAAGCACAAAACTATAACTGATATAAGGATTCGCGATATCGTCGAATCAAGGCATATGTCGATCGATACAAAGTCGCACGAAAAACACGATCCTTCCAAAAGAAAAGAGAGAAACAACAGCCTACCTGCTAGTATTGGTTCCAAACGCAGGTTCAGCTCACACGAAACTATAGAAATGTGCGACGAAACTAAAAAACTAAAACTATCCCAAGATCACAAAAAACTTTCCGAAAGGAGAGACTCGAAAGACAGCACGCGATCGGAGGATAGAATAAAAAGCAGCAAACACAGAAACAACATAAAATCCTACGACAAGTACAACAGTTCGAAAGACTCGGAAGAGAAGAGAAAAGAGCGAGAAGAACGACACAGGAAACACAAATTAGAAAAACAAAAATCGAAAAGTAAAAGTCGAGAAAAAGAGGCGCACGAAGCTACGCTCACAATATCATTGACCGATAGGGAATTTTTGAACAGACTGGAATTAAAATCTACAGAAGAATGCGATAAACATAGAAAAGATAAAGAATGCAAAGAAAAACGCATTACTATCGAAGACTTTGATAAAATAAAAAAGGAAAGACCTCCTTTGGAAAAATCGCAATCTCAATCACAATCACAGCCGGTTGCAGAAAAAATAAACAAGAATCGTTCGGATCCTGAGGCCAGAACGAGCGAAGAAAAGAAAAAACGCGACCGTATCAGAAAATTAACAAATTCCTCAGACACCGATTCAGACGAACCAAAGAAACATTCCATATTCGACATAGTCGATGACGAACCCGCTTATATTTCTATGTACGACAAAGTGAAAGCTAGGAGTTGCAAGAACATGGCGAAACAAGAAGAAGAGAAGAGACAGGAAAAGTTGAAAGCGAAATTCTCGCAACTGAAACAAAGCAGAGCCAAACGCGAAGAGAAGAAACGATCCACTTCTTGGGACGAAGATTCCGATTCAGATAAAGATATTTCCGACATCAAAATGAAACGATGTCCCAAAATGCTCATCGACAGTTCCGACGATGAAAGCCAAGAGCTGAAATTAATGAAAAAGAAAGATATGATTTTTTCTGATTCGGATTCGTCAGCCGTTTATAAACATATTAAACAAGAAATAATAGATACAAGCGAAGACGAAACTAGAAGTAAAGCGTTAATCATGAAAGCAATCAAATCTCGAATAACGAGTGATACATCCGAAGACGAACTAAATAAAAAGAAGATTACACAAATAGAAGAACCACACATTAAATCAGAATTCTTCCCAGATTCAATCACCACAGAAATCCAAGCTTACAACGTAAGTGAAGATAAATCCCACTTATTTAAAGTCAAAGACGAGATAGTTAAAATCAAGAAAGAAAGAAGGAACAGCAAACATCAAGAAATCGAAATTAACAGCCCCACTTTTAACGACGCCACCCATTCTGAAAATAAAGCTGAAAAATTCAATCACAAACCTCACTTTACCGACATTACCAGCGACGAAGAAGCCCAACATGAAGCGGCCAAAAAAGAGCGATCGGAAAGAAGGGAAAAGAAACACAAGAAAAAACAAAAGAAACAAAAGCATTCCATTAGTAGCGAAGAATCTGTCAAATTCGAAAACGTCTCCGATTCCGTTCCATCCGAAAATCCAGAGAAATCCAAGCACGAAAAGAAGAAAGACCACAACCACAGTAAAAAAGAAAAACGGCGCGACAAAAACCGAGAAGGTAGAGAGAAATCTAAAAAGTCTAAGAAAAATAAAACCGAAAATAAGATCGATAGCAAACGAGATGGAAAAATGGAAAATATTTTCGGATCGCTATCAGAAGATTCCGAAAATTGCCCCAAAGAACACGAACAAGAACCCAAAGTACCGAATTGCGTCGAAGATGAAACACAACATCAACCAATTTATAACAACAAAACCGAAAAGGAACACGAAATTAAACCGAAAGAAAAAACGGAAAGGGAAAGAGAAAAAGAGGAGCACAAGCGAAAGAAAGAAAAGAAACGACGAGAAAAAGAACGTCGCCTTCAAGAAGCCGCTGTGGCCGCCTCTTTGGCAGCAACCGCTGCGGAACAAGAAAGCAATGAGAACAGTATGGATTACATCGATATGGGTAAACAACTAGAAGCAAATATGATGCAAGACGAAACCTTCGTCTTATCTGAAACCATCACTAAGACAACTGAACCCAATTCAGAAACCACTGACGTTACATCCAACTTCCCCGACGCCGTTGAGCCTAAAAAAGACAAAGAAGAGAGGAGAGAAGCCAAAGAAAAGAAAAAGAAACGAAAGAAAAGCAAAGACGAGAGAAGCAAACATCATAATCATCATCATGATAAGAATAAAATAAAAACACCAGACATTAAAAAGGAAACTCCTCGACCGGAGCCTGTGGTTGAACAGGAAATCAACACTCCTACTCAACCACAAAATCCGAGTTTACCCAATATTTTAGAAGAACAAAGTCCTGTAAATACCAAAGCTTCCGAATTTGCTATTTCTCCACTAAACCCAATCATCAGTCCCATACCAAAGACTCCTACCGTTCCTCAAGAGAAAAAACGGGAGAAGTTTATACCCGCTTTTGGTACCGACATCGACGAAAAGGTCCACGAAAGCGCCGTCAAGTCTATTTCAGAAGTCGAAACAGTTGAAAAGAAAGACGAAGTTGTTACTACCAAAGAGGAAGATGAAAACAAAACATCTCAACTACCCGAAGAGAAACCTAGGGTAGTTATATCTCAAGAAGAAACCGAAGACGCGGTAGCCGCTCTATTGGGCGAAAGCTTTGGTAGTGGCAAACAAGAAGAATTTTACAACGACGAAAACAGCATTGAAGAACCTTCAAGTACCTTAGTGGAGGAATCAAACGTTCAAGATGACGAAGAAATGCGTCAAGCAGTGCAAAGCCTCAGCGCAGCTGATTTAGATGTCAAACCTGATACTCCACAAAGCGAGAATGACCTTCAAATAGATACCGACACCGAAGAGCAGGAAGATATACCTTTAAGATTTAATACAGCACCGAAAACTCCTGAATCCACGGAATTCCCTCAACTGCCGAAAACGCCAGATTTACCACCATATTTTGCAAATACCGCAGATGAAAAGCAGACTCCTATTCCTGCATTAAAAACTACTCCTAACATAGGTAGTCCACCATCTCTCACTCCTATACGTTCATCATCAAGCCTTTCCGAAGTACGAAAAGTCTTAGATATGGACAAGAAGGAACTTCCAATAATACCAGAGCCACAAAAACATGCTGTAATTTCTCAACCTTGGTCCGCAGATAAGAAAATAGAGATTCCTGTCACCAAACCTCAAACGTCTGTAATTAAAATGGAAACCAAGAAAGTCATTCCAACTGTATCTGAAGTGCCAGTACAAGTACAAAATTGCAGTACTGTTACTTCTGCTCCAGTAAGACCATACGCTAGTCCTCCAGTACTTAAAATTGCCGAACCTCAATATCCACCGTTGAAGCCTCTTTCGAAAACCGATCACTTATCTATGTCTCCAGTTGTTGAAATTTCAAATAAAATTCCGGTAGTACAAACATCGACTAAATCTCCAACGCCTCCGCAGTTACATAATCTTCCTGCGCGTTCTCCAATTCAGATGAACAAACCACCACCATCAGTAAGCGACTCTGGTTTGGTATCGCCGAGATTGACGCCGGCTCTGATCCATAACAGAATGCCAATAACTTCAGTTATGGTATCAAAACCGATCCAGGCAACAACCGTAATTTTGCAGCAGTCCAAAGTTGCTCACAGCTTAGAACCACCCAAGTTGGTTTCTACTTCTGATCCAAGATCGCAGGACCCTCGACCGAGGATGGTTTATCAAGCGCCTACTATTCAGTCACCACAGTTTGGTAATTTCGGAGCAAACCATAGGCCTCCGATGATGCCAGCGAATATACGACATTTGCCGCCTCAAGGGTTACTTGTTCCTTCCAGAAACCCTTATAACTTTATAGGAAATGTACCTCACTCTTCTTACAATATTCCTACAAGTTTACATGATTCTTCTTCTGGAAATGTATTGGATTCGCATCCAAAAGTTTCACAACCTTTACCTTTATCTATACCGCCGCCATTAATTACTTCTCATGTACCTTTACCGCAACTGTCAGTTCCAAAAGAGGTTATTTGCACAAAACCACCAACACCATCAATACCAAGTCCAAAATCGGTAGCAGTAGCAAATTCTCTTAGTCCAAGTCCATTCTCTTCAGCGTGCGTGAGTCCTCAACACAAGAATGCTCCTAGTCCAAAACCAATAGTGGCAGCATCGAGTCCAAAACCAATAGTTGCGGCAGCATTAAGTCCTAAACCAATAGTAGCAGCGGCATTAAGTCCTAAACCAATAGTAGCAGCAGCATTAAGTCCTAAACCAGTAGTAGCAACAGCATTAAGTCCAAAACCAATAGCAGCAGCACTGAGTCCTAAATCTGCGACATCAGTGAGTCCGAGGTTAACAAATACAGCCACTTCAGAACCATCTCCTTCAATTATTGTTCATCCTGTTCAGAAACCTAGTGAAACGCCTAAAATTTCGCCACCAAAATCTCTGAATATTAATTTGGCGATATCTGCTCCTAGTCCAGTAATAGTGTCGGCTCCACTCGCAAACGATACTGCTGCTGCTGTTGCTGCAAAAATAGAACAAAAGGAGAAAGAAGAGCCAAAACCTGTTAAATTGGCAATTGAAGCAGTTACGGAGGAGCTCAATATATCTTTGGGAAAATCTACACCTGAAATTAAAGACGAAAACACTCCAAAACTAGAAGTAAAACCAGAGAATCCCGTACCAGAAAATGTAACTAAACCTGAAATAAAAGAAGATCCTAAACAGGAACCAGTTGAAGAAAAACCACAAATTGATACTGATAAAGAAATCATTACTGACATTAAAGAAGTTGAGAAACTTGATGAAGACAAGACTGAAACTGAAAGCATTCTATCAGACATTAGCAAAGAAAGATCTGTTAGTGCTGATATTCTTGCTAAAGATGATCCACTTGATACAAAGGAAGACAGCGATTATTGGTCAGCAAAGGAAGCTATCGATTCAGTGATCAAAACACTCGTATCTCCTGATGAATTGTCTGATCATGGTAGCGAGAACGGCAGACACGAGTGGTTTGATATTAAAAAACCAGATGAACCTAAAATCCCTGAAGAGGCGCCGCCATTAAATATCAAAAATGATACTCCAGAAAAGGTACAAGATGAAACATTAGAGCTGAAGAGCGATGAGTCTCAAGTTATGGATGCATCAGTGGAATCAGTTGAACCAGAGAGCAGCGAAATCGTAATAGAGCCACCTACACTCCGTTCTAGTAGTCGACGTGGTGGTCGTGGAAGAGGCAGAGGTAAGCAACCTTCACCGAGAAAACCTGTCTCTACCGAAAGAGGCGGAATACAAACTCGTCGAGGTAAACTAAGAGAACTCACCCAACCAACACCTGTATCTGTAACTAAAAGAGGAAGAGGCGGAAGACCTCGAAATGAAAGAAAATCTTCGAAATCTGAATCAGAAACGGCTCCAACCGATGTATACGAATTTCGTGATGAACCTGATGATTCTAATAAAGAACAACGTCCAAGGTTAATATTAACAATTAAATCTCCGGCAATTTCCAATAACAATGCACAAACAACTGCCATTGTAAAAGAAGTCACTAAAGATGGAACAAAAGAAATTGGCAAAGAACAACCAAAAGAAACGCCATCTCCTCCTGCTAAAACAACCGACAATAAAGAAGAATTTGCTTCTCCATCAACAAATACCAGAAAATCGCGAAGATTACAAGAAAGAGATACCTCCAAAAGTAGTGTTGATGATACCATTGAAGACGTTGTTAAAAACACTGTACAAACTCGTACTTCAGCTAGCCAGAGAAGATCAGGTAGACAAGCGACTACTAAGCAAAGCCCTCCACAATTAGAAACACCTAGAAAATCACCAAGAGGCAGAAAAGGTAGAAGAGGTTCAGAGGCTACAGAAAATTCATCTTCCGAAGAAACCTTAAAGGAAGAAATTAAGCTAACACCTACACAAGTGAAACCCGAAGAAAAGCTTAAAGAACCTGAAAAGCCAGTAGAAACTGTAAAACCAGAAGTGAAAGAACCAGAAGTGAAAGAACCAGAAGCAGTACCCAAAGAAAAACCGCTTGAAGGCCTTAAGGCTGCAGTTCTTCGTCGCATCAAAGGAGAGCTGGTTATAAATAAAAATCCAAAAGAACCAACTAATCTTATAGATCCGGTAACTGGCGAAATTATCCCAATGAGGGAAAGCGAAGAAGGCAAATATGTTCCACTACCAGGCTCGCTTAACGAAGCGTCTCCCAAAAAACCAGCAGATTTATCTCTTAAAGAACGTGTCGAGACCAAAATTAAACCAGCAGAACCACCCAAGCCTTTGGAGGTAACAAAAGTGCAAACTAGCGTAATATCGCAACCTCAGCAAGTTACTGTCGTTCAACAGCCAAAACCGCAAACTCTAAAAGCTCATGTATTATCTTCACATGTAGCACACGCGGTTGTGACTCAACAAGTTCCTACTCCAGTTGTTCAAACAAAAATAACTACACCTGCAGTTGTAGTTGCTTCAAAACCGACTCCACAAGAAATCGTTGTAAGCAAATCGACCATCCCTGTTTCTGTATCAAAACCAGTTTCTCCTATGGTGATAACAAAGCCAGCTTCTCCTATGGTGATAACAAAGCCAGTTTCTTCTATAGTGATAACAAAGCCAGTTTCTCCTATGGTGATAACAAAGCCAGTTTCTCCTATGGTGATAACAAAATCAATAAGTCCTATCATGGTTACTAAAACGGTAACTCCCATGGTTGTTACAAAAGCCGTTACGCCAATCAATCAACATCTTACTATCAATACCAACTTGGGTATTCCTATGTCTACTTCACCTCATATATCTCCGAGGCCTAATGTTCCTATGAATGTCACCAACAAGCCTTTACCAAAGCAGTTACCTAAAGGTTCTGCACTCTCTCCAATTTTAACAACTCAACAGAAGCAAGAGATACAGCAAATACAGCAAATCATGCAATCTGGTAAGCAGCCAGTACCGAAGGCATATTTGACGTCTCCAATGGTTACTACCCAAGCGCAAATAGTCAACACTCAGATGGCTCACATGAAACATCAGCCAATGATGAAGCAGCAAGTGATAATAGGAAAAGGCCCATTGAAACCTCTCCATACCCAGCAGATTATCAGCGGAGCCATTCCTAGTCCGCCTTTGGCCAAAGGGCAGTCTACTTTAAACAACCCTGGTAGAATAATACACGCTCCTTCCCCTGCCGGAGCGAAAGGTATAATGGATCCTCCTAAAGTCGATGTATCTATGAGTAACGTCATGTTGGGGCAGCGATCGAAGTTGTCACCTCAAGGCACGCAACAGAGAATAGTTGGCCAAACTGGACTACCACTTCCCGGCTACGAACCAAGCTTGGTAAGTTTATATTATACAATTATAGTATGCTTATAATAAGTACTAACTTATTTTTCTCTACTAACATGCAGCATGGAGAAAGGAGTTTTTTAAATCGAAGTCGGAGCCCTCCACCGGCTCACCAAAATTCGCCATCTCCAAAGGTGATTTTTCTATACTTTTGACAAATTTTGTTCACTAAACGTTATCTGCAATTATTGAACTAATACTTCTTTTTGTAGTTTAAACTTTGTAATTATTAACCGATTGTTTATTTTAGGGAGAAGCAATTGCACATTTCCCTCCAGGTCCATTGCGACCGCCGCCTGATCTCAATCCATCACATTACATGCATCCTTCTCATGTGATGCAGTACCAGTATTTCAGACAACAACAGTTGCAGCATTTTTCGAGGTATTTATGACTGTTATATTTAAAGATAATCTTTTTTATGATCTGATTTAAAATTCTAATATCAACGTTATTTATAGGACTGGAGGCATAGAAAAGGTTGGAGATGGTCAAGAAGGAGAGGAAGCTCCTGTAACATCACCGCCGTTAGAATTACGAAGGCCGGGTTCTGTAGGACTGGCGCTTGCTGGAAGAAGCACTGCTGTAGTACCGCATAGTTTGCATTCTCCACATGATAGAACTACAGGTGAGTCATTAAATTTACATGATTAATTATTACATACTAAAATTTATTTTCTAACCAAGATGTATTTTGAAGAAACATCTTTGCAGATCAGTAAATGAATGGTTTCATTTCATTTTCTCCTAGAAAACAGTCGTTTGGAACAAAATAAAGAACAATGTAACAGTCCACTTTTAAGATGTTCTAAAATTAAATTAAAAAAATATTTCCCTAAATATAGCGATGTTTAAGAGCACAAATATTGTATGTCCATTTTTGTTGAAAAAGGATTCTATATTATTCATGTTAAATAAAAAATATTAGATTATGACTAAAATTTATTTTTTTTCTAATAGTTGAAGTCCTTATTTATCTAATAGTGAACTTTTAACTATACCTTACCGTGCAAATTTTTGAGAATTTTTTTTTTAAAAATGTGAGTATTTGTACAGTGTCTTACGAGAAAGTAAGACCTCAACAACAATTCTCGAATTATACTATTATTTATTGATTAGATGGAGTAGAAAAAAACTAAAAATAAGGTTTTTGAAATATTTAGGTTTTGTTTTTTACAGTAAAATATATAGGTTACCGTGGAATTTATTGAGAAATTATTATTAAAAAAAAAATTCAAGTAACCTAGTTGAAAATTTTTTGTGATTTTTTAATATTATACCGTTATTATACATATGTTTGTTAAGTATACAATACCCTGTTAATAGACCTACCAAGTACTCTAGTATTTTTCCTATTAAGGCTTTGTCCTTTTAAGAACTCTTTGGCCTGTCTCTGTCCTGGTGACTCTTTCCACTATTCCTGAAATTTTTTAAACATCCACTGCTTTGTGCGTGTTCTGTGACACCACAGAAGGGTTCTGGGCCAATAAGAGCCTTTGAGGCTCCTTCTCGGGCTAGTACATCAGCCTCTTCGTTTCCCTTATGTCTTCTGTAGCCTGATACCCAGGCTAAGGTTAGTGTTAGTCTGTTTTGACTACCCAACTCTGCTAGGACTTCCAAAACTTACCTGCATAGAACTGAGTGCTTTTAACGTCTGAGTATATGAAAATAGTTTTTCCATTTACCTTATGTCTTAATACCGCTGTTACGCAGTGATGTATTATAATATCTAGTGTCATAACTTCACATTAATTTGGCTTTCACGCCTGGAAGTCAACTGAACTGAATTTGATCGTTTCGGAAGCTTTGGAGATGGGGTGTCAGATAGATGCTGTTGTATACCAACTTTTCCAAAGCTTTCGATGGAGTGAATCGTAAGTTGTTCATAGATAAACTTAAGTAAATTTGGTCTAGGTGGCTTTTTTTCGCCTTTTCAGGCATCCTCTGCTCCCTTCTGAAGGGTTCTGTTAGATTCTCCCCAATGAGGCTTGGGTCCAGCCACTGGCTCTCCTCTTAGGGTTTGCATGGCGGCACTATAGCGCAGGTAGCTTATTGTGACCATTTAAATGCTCTACTCCTTCCCATTCATCATACCTTTATTCTTCGTCATTCATTCCACGTCGTCTATGGTTAACCGCTAGTCGGCTAAGTCGGTGGATCGTCCAGCCATCACACATCCACGACGTGACCGAAAAAATCACTGCTTTCCTGTTGCGAGAATGTGGAAGTCTAGGTGGTTTATTGTTGCAATAGATTAAAAGCTATCTTCTTAACAGAACACAAATAGTTAAAGTAAAACGTCACTATTATCCCAATTACTCTGTAACTTCTGAATTCCCCAAGGTTTCCATCTAGGACCCCTTCTATTTAATTTATTTGTCAACGATGTAACTCTTCCTGTTTTCGACATACTAATTTCTTACTTTTTTCCGATGACCTTAAACTTTTCCAAATTGTCAACAACTTTGGAAATGCCATTGATTGGTACAAATACAATGGCATGGATTTAAATTTAAGAATCTATCACATTTTTTGGTTCAATTGTTCTCAACAACCTTCTCAATGGTCAACTTTTAGATAATGAAAAATAAATTAAATATTTTGGCGTAATTTTTTACACAACCCTTAACTTTAACCATAACTTTAATTATAGGAAAATCTATGGAAAGGATTTATTAAATGGATAACCCACGACTTTACTAATGTAACTGCCATTAAAACTAATTAAATTATTGTACTTTAGTTAGGATTCATTTAGATTGTTGTTCTTTTGTATTATACAATAATGGAGCAATTTTTAAAGTTACCTTCTCTGGAAACCATAAGAAAACAAAGATGCCTGATGTTACTTCTTAATATTATTAATGGAAGATATGATTGTCCTGAAATTCTATCGAAAATTAATCTTTTTGTTTCTACTCTTAATACCAGATAATCACAAATAATTTATATTTTTTATAGACTTGATAGTATTTTTAACAGTTGCATTCCTCGGATACTTAGATTGGCAAACTTTCTGGACAATCTTATAATATTTAATTCATCTATAAAAATACAATATTCAAAACTTACTAATTTATAAATATTTTAACAATTTACTGTGATCTAAATGGACTACTTCGTTAATATATACAAATAAATAAATGATCTTATTTTCAGATTCACCACAAATAGGCCAAGTCTACAACGTCCATTCACCAGCTCGGATACCCTACCATCACCCGACACGTTACTACGACCAAGAACCACCACCGGCTCATCGACCTTTGACCAGCCACGGATCGTTGGCGGCCTTGGGCAGCGATCGAGGCCTCGCTCATATGGCGCCTATCGGCACTCCTGATCGTCCGTTGAGCAGCCATTCGGCGATAGGCGCTCAAATTGGCGGCCTAGCGTTAGCAGATAGACCGATTTCCACGCACGTTGATAGGCCGCTTTCCGCTCTCGGTCTGATGGGCGCCGGGCTAGGAGCGGCAGGAAATTTGATGGGCGCCGTAGCCAGACACATCGGTGCAGATGCGCCTACAAGCCAAAGGGGATTGCAAGCGGCCACGCCGCCTCATGCTAGTCAAGTGCCACCGCAGGCCGAGAGTTTATTGATGTTGTTAAAGGTTAGTATTGCAATTCTGATAGTTAAGTTCGAGTCTTGTAGTACACCTCTGGTTAAAGAAGGAGGTGATATTTCTATTCGTTGGTTTGTAATAATTTACCTCTCCCTTTTTACTTGATGACTTCTTCTGGAGTCTAGATTCCAGTGTCTTCAAAAAGATTTTTAAATAATGTGCTTGACTCAAGAAATTTAATGTTCACAAAATTATATTAGGTGATTTGTTGTACAATGTGCAACACAATGAAAGTATCTTTATAACCTCAGACTCCTACTGAGGTGAATTGTGAGGTTGCTAATAATGGAATGAATATCTAAAAATGATTTTTTTGTTTCTTCCTGAAGTCAGTTACGAGATTTGTTAAGTCACGCCTTGTATGTGCTTAGACCAATGATTTTATTTCTAGCAGCTACATCTTTGGTGAGTGTATGAGGATGACGTAACTAATCGCACGTGCAAGGCCTAGCATCGATTATTCTGCCCACTTCTATTGTGACTGCGTTTTAATTAATAGCTTGTGCTTGCACAGTGGCGTATTCAGTAAATATTAACGTTTAAAACTATGTATGTGTGACTCTTAAACACTGGTTCCTGCAACGAATCTGGTTGAAATCGATGTAAATGTGGAAGAAAATGTCGTTTTTGTTGATAGTCAAAAATTAAAATTATTCTTATGGACTAATTAAAGACGTTTTGAATGACTTATCAGCATTAGATTGGCCATCAAATAGTTCGGACTTAAATCCAATTGGATATGTACATTTAAAAGGTGTGTCAGGAGATGCAAAAACCTTCCGGGTTATCTGAAATGCTGTTCAGGAAGAATTAGAACTATTGGATCTAAAAAAATACTTGAGTAAAAGGAGCACTGCTAAAGTTTACAGACGATGTAAAACAAATCACGTTATACAAATTGCTTTAGTGCTTATCAAAATAGCAACCAATGAAACTGTTAAATAAACTTTTTTTTATCAGAAGTGTACTATTTAGTTAAAAATAATTTAAATATACTTTCTTAAATTCAACCTGAAACTAATATATGTTTTTTTTTATATTCAGCAATACCCCTGTATGTGGCAAGGCCTTCTAGCCCTAAAAAACGATCAAGCAGCCGTTCAAATGTACTTTGTATCTGGTAATGACCATGTTGCCAAATGCAGTTTACCGAAAAACACAGATGGATCAACACCACCTCTGAGAATATTCCAAAGAATGAGACTGGAGCCGCCACAAGTCGAAGGGGTGGCAAGAAAGATGCAGGTAAGCATTTTGAAACCATGCACACCCAGTAGTATAGTTATATTTTTAATAAAAAAATCTCTTAATATAATTTTACTATTTTTGATAGTGAAAAATAATCAAATGATGCCTTTAAAATGCATCATAATTATTGAAGATTTGTGAGATAGTTAGATTTTAGACCATCTATGATTCTAAAAAAAAATGGTACCAATTATCTGACAAATACGGGTTCTACAGGGTTGCTTCCATCTTAAGAGTCACATTGTATATTTTTATTGGATTATAATCATGAGTTTACTTTATCCCGTTTATTTTTTAAATAATAAATAATTTTTTTTTTCTTACAGATGGAGAACGAGCACTGCATGTTACTGGCTCTACCGTGTGGTCATGACCACATGGACGTACTTCAACAGTCTAATAACCTAACTCATGGCTTTATAACCTATTTGCAACAGAAACAGGCAGCCGGCATTGTGAATGTTGCAGCACCCGGTACCACACAACCAGTAAGTACCATTGTTTTATGTTATTAACGTTTTTCTTTTATTATTTACTTCTTTCTAATAAAGACCTATAGTGGAAGCCGTCAATTATATGCAGAAGAAATGTCAGGAATGTGTAATAGAATGTTTAATTATAAACAAAAATTATATCAGCAATTTTGGTAAAAAAAAAATATATACTTTTCAAATTAAATCATGGTCGATTTCCGGTCCATATACATACAATAAAAACCATAGACTACCCCTTTTGTACTTGAAATAATACGTCTATTGGAGACGCCAATTACCTCTTATTAGAATGTAAAAAGTATGCATTACGAACATCTGAATTATACAAATGCTTAATCTCTCTCAATTTTCTTCTTGTAAATTTAACATCTCTTGTCTGACAAGTACCGATAGACTGAGGGGGAAAATCAGAAAGATCAAAACGTATCCGTATTTTGGAAATTACCTAAAATTGATTGTGGGAGTACGAGATATAAATCTGAATGCCACACTCACCCATTCTTAACGTAAATCTATTTTAGAAAGTATGGACGAAATTCAAATTCACCTAATAATTTTATTGGTGAAGTTCACAAATATAATTTTGTACATCATATGGACACAACTTATTCACTAAAATAAATCTGTTAATGTTTGTTAGAAAACTAATCACAGTCGTTTAATTTGTAATATTAAGATTTCGGTAATTTGAGAATTGATTTTCGTTTGAATGCAAAGAATCAAGATGGCTTGGTAGCGTGGGTTTGCTTATATCCCAGAAGAAATGTAATAAAATTATTATTGTGACCTTTTTTTTTAATTTCTTACGATAAGAAGATATAAACAACTCCAGAAAATATTTATTGCAATATTTTAGGTAGGGCCCGATTACAATATAATAATAAATAATAAATAAGCTTTATTCAAAACCATAGTGAATGTATACAATCATAACAAGAAAATTATAAATTGAATAAAGCTAAAAGCCGATAAGCATAAAGATACTTGTTTCGACAAAAAACAACAAAATTATATGTAATTAAAACTTATGTACTATCTAGATGAATGATTGTTTGATCAATTTTTAATACCTATCTAATAATAACAATATCTTTCTAATAATAACAACAATAACATCAATAAAAATAGATAATTTTAATTATAGTTATAGTAAAATATTATCTTAGTAATATAAACACATTTAAAAAACATAAAACTTACACAAATGGATCAGAATATAAAATGAGCATTGTGGAAGGATGTTAAATGCATTACTCAAAAAGACTTTGGAAATTAATTCGCGGATTCTGAATAATTTTTTTTTGTAGAAGTTTTTATCATACGAGGAACAATATAATTTGTTTTTTGGCGAGTATTATAATTGTGCAACAGTTGCTGAATTTTTACATTTTATATAGTAATAGGAGCAGGCGTGCATACAATATAATTGTCTCAAGTCGAGTATGTTTGTTTCCAAGTAAAGAGAATCAGATGGATATCTAGGGGATTTATCACACACTATTTTAAGAAATTTTCTTTGAATTATTTCTAATAAGAAGAACACAGTTACGTCATCATTTGGCGAACTAATTCATTGACTATCGTCCCCTACTGGGGGTTTAGTGGCGTGTTAATATTAGAAGAATATAGGAAATATATGTCTTCATGCCTTATTTATTTATTGATAGTTACAGATATATGTATTTGAAATTCGAAGTAATGGTTATGACGTAGCTGTGTTCTTCTTATTGATATTGAATTCAACTTATAACACTTTTTTTCGTTTTGATATATTTACAAACAGTATAAACTCAATGGTAACATCAAATTAAAGTCAGATCCTGGACCTGCCTGCAATGTGCCTTACAACTGGATCCTTTGTACTGGTGAATTTACAAAAAAGGAAAAAAACAAAAAATTATTTATTGTCTTACATTTTAATTAATCTATGAAACAAATGATCTTAAGTATGATATATTATATTTTTAAGCAACGATTATGTATTTTAAACATTTTATTTGCATAATTTGTGTAATAAAAGGAATATTATAGTAATTCTATTGTAATAATATTTGACCACCCAAAGTGTTTAAATATAGATAAAAATAAAATCAAGGTTCTAATTGTAATAATAATATTGTTGTTCTTGTTTCAGCCTGCTTATGTCGTACACATTTTCCCGTCCTGTGACTTTGTCAATGAAAACTTGAGACGCATCGCTCCTAGTCTTCTAGAAAGGGTGGCAGACATTGCACACCTGCTCATAGTCATAACTACAGTATGATCTTTTCTACACGATGGATTTGACTCTACAATTTACTAATCAAAAGATCGTGACTTGAATACGAAAGCTTTTAAGCCTATTTTGACTCATTTTTTCTCTCAAAAAAAAAAAGTCTCGTTAAAAATAAATTACGAAGAAGCTATTGTCCCTTTAAAGGATTTTAAATATACTTAAAAATATTTCACTGTGATTTCTGACAAAATGTTATTACTATTATTAAAAAATATATTTAAAAAACAAAAAAAAAATGCTAAAAATAACTTACTACCTATTTAAGAGATCTCATATTGAACTTAGTTATATATATAAAAAAAAGAAATATGTCTTTATTTAGAAGATCTTTATTTTCGTAAATATCTTGTAAATTGTTTGTTCTATTTATTTACTATCCTTGCAATATTTGCAAAGATGGTCGATAAGCCGATATGATATGTTTTAGAATATTTTTTTTTATTCCCGTGCTTTGCCGTCGGGCCGCCGCTCACATTTATTTCGTTTTTCTTATATTACACCGCCGCTTGTTAATTTATTTATTACACTTACTTAGGATTTAAACGATTTTATTTAAGCGTTTGTGTTTATTTTTTTTTATTTAATTTGTATCCATTCTCTAATACCTTCACCTCTATTTAGTGTATGCGATGTTTTGTTTTTAGGTTTTTTGTTAATATAATTTTTAGTTTATGCAATCTGTCAATAAGAGATGGTAATTTTTTGTACGGGTTTTGTAATAAAAAAAAGACTGAACGGGTAATAACCATTTACATTCTACTATCGTTATTGAATATTAATTTTGATGAAAGTATCTACAAAATAAAAAAAAATGAGTGTTTTACTGGGATTTCTAATTATTCGTTTATATTATTTGCTTTACGGATTTATGATATATTAATTATTCACTGCAATTAATTATCTAATATTTTTTTGTAATTATTCTATAATTGTGAATAAATTATTATAATTATATTATTATTGTTGCATCTTTCTTAGGTTCATTTCTAAATATTTGTATTCTTCATAAATCTTTATTTCTCTTCAATAACTTCGATTTTTGTATTTGTCATCTAATGACGAAATTAGAGGATATACTAAGTTGTATTATTTATCATTTTCTATTGGACATTTCAGTTTCTGATCTTGTATATAAGGATAGTGACATAACTCAAAAAACAGATTTTCGGAAATACACATTAGTGTTTACCTTATATACAAACCATCAAGTTTGCTTCGATAACATTAGGAAAAACTCTGAATAATTATATTTTCATCCCTCTTTTGAGTTATGACGATCTTCCAAAAAAGTATATTTTGCACAATATTTCTCTTTCAACAATAATTGTCCTATTTCGACTTATGTAACTGTTGAAAATAATGTTCTAGTTTGTTTTTAATAAAACTGGCATGTTTTGATTTATGTCACTGTAGCCGAAAATTAATGTTCTTGTGTCATTGGGAGCACAACAAAATTTGTGTCCCTCTTCCACATACAAATATGCAGATTTTGTTATACATGTTTCTACTTTTTTTTTGTTTCAGTCACTGTCGTATTTCATGTCCTGATTATAAATCTGATTGGACCACATTAGATTTATGTATAATAATGTTTTTACTTGCATTTTTTTTTGAAATGTAGATATTTTACTATCATATATAATTTAAGTTTTGTTACAAAACTCGAAAAAAAAAATTATGTCTCGAGAAATCGATGTTAGGATAGATTGTAGGGTGTAGGTAATAGAGTCGTAAGTTGGTTTTTCACGAAGCGGCAGCCTAATGACAAAGATGTTGCTTTAAATTTGTAAATATTAAAATTACACGTTACCCAATTTGTAGTTTGAAATATGGCTATTATAAATATTTGAAAAAGAAAACACATATAGACATAATATATAAATATGTAGCATAACAAAATCAATCATTTTTTAAATTACAATGTAACATATATGTGAATATATAGTTTAGTTTGAGCTTTTTGATTTATCAATTCTGTACAGTGTATTTTTAGCTGTAAGTATAAGTTAGCTTGCGTTAAAAATGATAATATAGGGAACATTGTGATGTCTATATAATACTGTAAATTTTGTACATATAAAAAAATACTGTGTATTGTGAGTATACATTATTATAACTATTACGATAAAATTAATGTTTTTTTTTTTATTTCATCCATAACCATGAAAAAATAAACGGTTTTTAACAAAATAAATGTTTCCCTAAAGTAAGCAATGAGGGAGGCACTGGACATGTCCATGATACCTAACATATTCTAAATTAAAGTGTAATTTTTTTCATTGCTAAACATTTTTGTGGGTTACTCAGAGCAGAAATAACATTTTTCCATACTTACTCGGTTTCCGTTTCAAACTACTAAAAGTTGCAATTTCGTTGACAAAATTTTGGGATAGCAGAAGAACGATGAGATATTTAAGTTCCTTAATCCAATTACTATAAAATTCAGGGTAACGCAAAATTAAGTGTCTTCATCAAATTGTCATTACCATTCAGGGTAACGCAAAATCGACGGATTTAAAAACTTAAATATCTCCTAAACGGCTTAGGATAGAGACGCACTACAAAGAGCACTTTAATCTATCTGTTCGGCTCTACGTTTTGAGCAAGTTTAGAGAATGATTCGATTATTAATAACTGAGGAAAATTAAAAAAATAATAAAAACCTTGTCAATAAGAAGCAACTGAATCCACTCCTTAATTTTCATTGTTCTCTTTGATATGTAGCCAAATTTTCATTAAAATCGGAGACAAAAAAATTTTTTCTCAAAAAATTTGGAAGGCTATACCCTTTCCTTTTTTTTTGGGAAAATAAACGTTTAAACAAATTTACGTATGAATAGAATGGAACGTCAGGATCTCAAAAAGATACTCTGTTCCCCTCTAACAAGACTAATTAAAAAGTTGGGGCTCATTACTTAAAAAGTATCCAACATAGAGAGACACAGACACCAGCAAGACATTTTAAATCGTTTACTGTAACGTAGTGCCGAATTTCATGAAGATCAGAGCAGAAATAACATTTTTCCATACTTACTCGGTTTCCGTTTCAAACTACTAAAAGTTGCAATTTCGTTGACAAAATTTTGGTATCAGGATAGCAGAAGAACGATGAGATATTTAAGTTCCTTAATCAAATTACTATAAAATTCAGGGTAACGCAAAATTAAGTTTCTTCAACAAATTGTCATTACCATTCAGGGTAACGCAAAATCGACGGATTTAAAAACTTGAATATCTCCTATACGGCTTAGGATAGAGACGAACGACAAAGAGCACTTTAATCTATCTGTTCGGCTCTACGTTTTGAGCAAGTTTAGAGAATGATTCGATTATTAATAACTGAGGAATATTAAAAAAAAATAAAACCCTTGTCAATAAGAAGCAACTGAATCCACCCCTTAATTTTCATTGTTCTCTTTGATATGTAGCCAAATTTTCATTAAAATCGGAGACAAAAAAATTTTTTCTCAAAAAATTTGGAAGGCTATACCCTTTCCTGTTTTTTTTTGGGAAAATAACAGTTTAAACAAATTTACATATGTATAGAATGGAACGTCAGGATCTCAAAAAGATACCCTGTTCCTCTCTAACAAGACTAATTAAAAAGTTGGGGCTCATTTCTTAAAAAGTACCTATCCAACATAAAGAGACGCAGACACCAGCAAGACATTTTAAATCGTTTACTGTAACGTAGTGCCGAATTTCATGAAGATCAGAGCAGAAATAACATTTTTCCATACTTACTCGGTTTCCGTTTCAAACTACTAAAAGTTGCAATTTTGTTGACAAAATTTTTTGGTATCAGGATAGCAGAAGAACGATGAGATATTTAAGTTCCTTAATCAAATTACTATAAAATTCAGGGTAACGCAAAATTAGGTTTCTTCGTCAAATTGTCAGTAACGCAAAATTGACGGATTTAAAAACTTGAATATCTCCTAAACGGCTTAGGATAGAGACGAACGACAAAGAGCACTTTAATCTATCTGTTCGGCTCTACGTTTTGAGCAAGTTTAGAGAATGATTCGATTATTAATAACTGAGGAATATTAAAAAAAAATAAAACCCTTGTCAATAAGAAGCAACTGAATCCACCCCTTAATTTTCATTGTTCTCTTTGATATGTAGCCAAATTTTCATTAAAATCGGAGACAAAAAAATTTTTTCTCAAAAAATTTGGAAGGCTATACCCTTTCCTGTTTTTTTTTGGGAAAATAACAGTTTAAACAAATTTACGTATGTATAGAATGGAACGTCAGGATCTCAAAAAGATACCCTGTTCCTCTCTAACAAGACTAATTAAAAAGTTGTGGCTCATTTCTTAAAAAGTATCGAACATAGAGAGACCCAGACACCAGCAAGACATTTTAAATCGTTTACTGTAACGTAGTGCCGAATTTCATGAAGATCAGAGCAGAAATAACATTTTTCCATACTTACTCGGTTTCCGTTTCAAACTACTAAAAGTTGCAATTTTGTTGACAAAATTTTTTGGTATCAGGATAGCAGAAGAACGATGAGATATTTAAGTTCCTTAATCAAATTACTATAAAATTCAGGGTAACGCAAAATTAGGTTTCTTCGTCAAATTGTCAGTAACGCAAAATTGACGGATTTAAAAACTTGAATATCTCCTAAACGGCTTAGGATAGAGACGAACGACAAAGAGCACTTTAATCTATCTGTTCGGCTCTACGTTTTGAGCAAATTTAGAGAATGATTCGATTATTAATAACTGAGGAATATTAAAAAAAAAATAAAACCCTTGTCAATAAGAAGCAACTGAATCCACTCCTTAATTTTCATTGTTCTCTTTGATATGTAGCCAAATTTTCATTAAAATCGGAGACAAAAAAATTGTTTCTCAAAAAATTTGGAAGGCTATACCCTTTCCTTTTTTTTTGGGAAAATAAACGTTTAAACAAATTTACGTATGAATAGAATGGAACGTCAGGATCTCAAAAAGATACTCTGTTCCCCTCTAACAAGACTAATTAAAAAGTTGGGGCTCATTACTTAAAAAGTATCCAACATAGAGAGACACAGACACCAGCAAGACATTTTAAATCGTTTACTGTAACGTAGTGCCGAATTTCATGAAGATCAGAGCAGAAATAACATTTTTCCATACTTACTCGGTTTCCGTTTCAAACTACTAAAAGTTGCAATTTCGTTGACAAAATTTTGGTATCAGGATAGCAGAAGAACGATGAGATATTTAAGTTCCTTAATCAAATTACTATAAAATTCAGGGTAACGCAAAATTAAGTTTCTTCAACAAATTGTCATTACCATTCAGGGTAACGCAAAATCGACGGATTTAAAAACTTGAATATCTCCTATACGGCTTAGGATAGAGACGAACGACAAAGAGCACTTTAATCTATCTGTTCGGCTCTACGTTTTGAGCAAGTTTAGAGAATGATTCGATTATTAATAACTGAGGAATATTAAAAAAAAATAAAACCCTTGTCAATAAGAAGCAACTGAATCCACCCCTTAATTTTCATTGTTCTCTTTGATATGTAGCCAAATTTTCATTAAAATCGGAGACAAAAAAATTTTTTCTCAAAAAATTTGGAAGGCTATACCCTTTCCTGTTTTTTTTTGGGAAAATAACAGTTTAAACAAATTTACATATGTATAGAATGGAACGTCAGGATCTCAAAAAGATACCCTGTTCCTCTCTAACAAGACTAATTAAAAAGTTGTGGCTCATTTCTTAAAAAGTATCGAACATAGAGAGACACAGACACCAGCAAGACATTTTAAATCGTTTACTCTAACGTAGTGCCGAATTTCATGAAGATCAGAGCAGAAATAACATTTTTCCATACTTACTCGGTTTCCGTTTCAAACTACTAAAAGTTGCAATTTTGTTGACAAAATTTTTTGGTATCAGGATAGCAGAAGAACGATGAGATATTTAAGTTCCTTAATCAAATTACTATAAAATTCAGGGTAACGCAAAATTAGGTTTCTTCGTCAAATTGTCAGTAACGCAAAATTGACGGATTTAAAAACTTGAATATCTCCTAAACGGCTTAGGATAGAGACGAACGACAAAGAGCACTTTAATCTATCTGTTCGGCTCTACGTTTTGAGCAAGTTTAGAGAATGATTCGATTATTAATAACTGAGGAATATTAAAAAAAAATAAAACCCTTGTCAATAAGAAGCAACTGAATCCACCCCTTAATTTTCATTGTTCTCTTTGATATGTAGCCAAATTTTCATTAAAATCGGAGACAAAAAAATTTTTTCTCAAAAAATTTGGAAGGCTATACCCTTTCCTGTTTTTTTTTGGGAAAATAACAGTTTAAACAAATTTACGTATGTATAGAATGGAACGTCAGGATCTCAAAAAGATACCCTGTTCCTCTCTAACAAGACTAATTAAAAAGTTGGGGCTCATTTCTTAAAAAGTACCTATCCAACATAAAGAGACGCAGACACCAGCAAGACATTTTAAATCGTTTACTGTAACGTAGTGCCGAATTTCATGAAGATCAGAGCAGAAATAACATTTTTCCATACTTACTCGGTTTCCGTTTCAAACTACTAAAAGTTGCAATTTTGTTGACAAAATTTTTTGGTATCAGGATAGCAGAAGAACGATGAGATATTTAAGTTCCTTAATCAAATTACTATAAAATTCAGGGTAACGCAAAATTAGGTTTCTTCGTCAAATTGTCAGTAACGCAAAATTGACGGATTTAAAAACTTGAATATCTCCTAAACGGCTTAGGATAGAGACGAACGACAAAGAGCACTTTAATCTATCTGTTCGGCTCTACGTTTTGAGCAAATTTAGAGAATGATTCGATTATTAATAACTGAGGAATATTAAAAAAAAAATAAAACCCTTGTCAATAAGAAGCATCTGAATCCACTCCTTAATTTTCATTGTTCTCTTTGATATGTAGCCAAATTTTCATTAAAATCGGAGACAAAAAAATTGTTTCTCAAAAAATTTGGAAGGCTATACCCTTTCCTTTTTTTTTGGGAAAATAAACGTTTAAACAAATTTACGTATGAATAGAATGGAACGTCAGGATCTCAAAAAGATACTCTGTTCCCCTCTAACAAGACTAATTAAAAAGTTGGGGCTCATTACTTAAAAAG